TTAATTGTTTAAAATAAGAAGCCTGATTTTCAAATGGGTGTAGCTCATTAGATCTCGGTTTTGTGCTTTATATAACACAACCATTGTTTGATGAACACTTGAGCAAAAAAACTTTGATTTTCAAATGGTGCTAGATGGACTCTTATGTAAGGCCACTTGGTGAGACTTAAATAAGCACCGTCATTTCTATCATTGGACTTTTTTTATTTCATTAGATTTCGTCATTTCAGATTTTTTTGGGTTATTTGCACTTACTCTATCTAAAACTGTGGAAGGTTTCCTTGATTAGTTGTTAATGAAAAGAATTACTAGAAAAATCCATTCGACAACCTGTACAAGATTGAGGATTAAAGATGAATCAATTTATTTTTGTTTTGGGTGCAGGGAATTATTTTGGGTTTACATGTTTTGGATTTTGTTTATTTTTTGCTCTATTTTATGAATTTGGTGTTGTCTCAGTGAATTTGGTGTTTTTTTTTTTTTGGATTTTTGGTAAATTTGGTGTTATCCATGTAATTTGTGAGTTGCTTTAATGATTTTTACATTCGACATGGTTTTTATAGGACAACTTAAGTTAGATTAATTTGAGTTTTATGGGTTTAACTCGGTTATAAGTTTTTATAGATTTATCTTCAACACTGTCATGGGACAGTTGACGTTAAACTTCTGTTAATAGACCTTTATGCCACGTATAGAGAATACAAGCAATGAGATGTTAATAGACGTTGAACTTCTATGAGATTTTAGAATACAAGCAATACATTTTAGAGAAAAAACAATAGTATAAAAGGTTTTAATTTTAGTTTTGATTATGTAATTTCTCTTTCTAATAATGATTATATCCTGAAATGATTTTAATTGTTTGTTGGTTTTTAGATTAGTGTTGCTTTTAGACATGAGTGCCAAATGGTTTCTATGTTTGCTATGTTTTTTCAGATATATGCTTGGTGGCTGCGTGGATTTCATATAAATATGAAATTGGGTTATTTACATGGTGATAGATTTAATTTTAGGCATTTGGATCCATGTTGACAATGGATGCACCACTTTTACCAGAAAAAATGGTGAGAGTTGGGTTTTTCCTACTTCCAAAAAATTCACTTAAAACATTTTTAACTGAAAAATTGTCACAGTTTAAAAAATCCATGGAAGCCTTTGTTTTATTAGTATAGATTGATATTAATTGTTGTATGTATTTAAGGTGAAAAATGTTAGTCTTGAGTGGCAACCAATTTTATTTTAATTGTATCTTAACTTGAATGATTTTGTTTGTAGTCTCAATTTCCTATTAAATTTGTGTTATCCCAGACCAAAAAAAAAAAAATCTTGATGTTATCATTGAAATGCTATTAAGGCAAAATCTTCGAATGTTATACTGTATGGTTCTGGATTTGATAGTCAAAGAATTGATGCTCACTTTTAGTTACAAACTTCAATTCTTAACTCAAGTAGTTGGACATTTTGAACTAGAGGTCTTGAAACATTTTTTATTTTCATTGTAATTTTTTTTCTTAATGCATCAATTGTTGGCTTTTTATTTTTATGTTACGATGCCTATAGGAACCAGTGTGACCTTCTTCTTTTTGTCATTGTAGACTTGATTTGTAAATAATTTGGAAAAAAAAAATTCAGCTTTGGGATTGAATTTCTGTCGTGTATATAGTGTTCCACTTTAGTTTTCGGGTTGAATTTTTCGGGAAGTGTATATTTTGTTTTGAAAAGTGTTTGTTTAGAGCTTTTAATTTCTTAGAACTATAATATGGTAGATGGTGATTGAGTTGGTTTTCATTATTATTTTTCCTTTTTAATATGGTAGCTCATAGTTATGATTTTATTGTTATCTTAGTTGAGATTATATTGTGTGTTATGTGGTAAGTTTAATAATTGATTTGAGCCTTGTTTTTACTAATAGACAATTTTTTTTGTTACAGACATGGGTTCATTGCTATTGGATATATTTTTTTTTGAATTATGTTGATTCCAACTGACGAGAAAAGCAAAAAGATATAAGTTTTAGATTTTCGGGTATACATGTAAGCATGCTTGGGATTATTTTTTTGTGACTTCACATCCAGGTGATGTTGATCTCGATTAGACAATATTGTAGTGGTTGTTGTTAGCAATCTTATTGATATGTAGTTTGTTTGGGTAATTTTTTCTTGAGATTGATTGGTTATGCAATAGTTTGTATTCGACAATGATGCATACAATGAAATATATTAGCTCTGTAAACAGGTTGAGATTTTCTTAGCGGGAGCTTGATTGATGTTAATTTTTTTGATTAAAATAAATGAAGAAAAATTTATTTCAAATTGACGAGTTTTTTAGGTAGTAAAGTGCCTTTAGGCATAGTTTAATTTAATTTTCGTTATCCTGTGTTTACAGGCATTGACAATTATTAGTTATTGAATAAAAAATTAAAAAAAAAATTAAAAAATGAAAGAGGTGGGGCAGCAGTTAGGAAGGAAGCACCACCCTGTACCCTAAAGTCCAATATCTATTTCTTGGAGCCGAAGACTCTACCAGCGATGTGAGAAACTACCAACAGGATCGACCATTTTCAGATTAATCCCATGATGTGTACATTTTGACTTTGGAGCATTTGCTTGACTTGGCAACTAATAGATCTCTATCTTTCTCTTTCTCTTTCTCTATCTCTATCTCTCTCTGGCAATAACTTTTTTATTTATTTTTTGAGTTAATTGCATTGACATTAAAGATCCTAAAAGAATGAAATTTGTTTCATTTTAATTCACAATATTTCAATTGTATCATCTTAATTTTTGGAGTATTGAATTTTTTTAATATAAAACAGAATAAATTTCAATAAATTCAACCGACGATTTTAAATAGACTCATATAACAGCCATTAATATCACTCTTAAAGTCATTTACATTCTCTTATGTCTTTAGACAAGAGTTATTCCTAATATATTTTTATGTGATTCATCAAGTAGATCGTATCTAAATTATTAATATTATTGATAAACTTGTCACATAATACCTAAATACGAGAAAAAAAAATAAAAATTAGATAACTCTTGACCAGTTTGTTACTGAAATTTTGATTAAAAATCTATTTAAATTATACAGTTTTGATCATGAATTTTCTAAATTTTAGTCAATAACTATTCATATTATACATTTTTGGTCAAATCGTCAAATGACCAAATATAATTATTAAAAATTCAACCGACTTCCAAAATATACGACCTGACTATTGAATTTGTATGATTCGAGTTTATAATAGTGTTTTTAATTTTATATCATTATTTTCGATTATTTATATTCTTAGTATATTTTTTTAAACTAAACGTTATTTAGTATTTGATTACTTAATAAAGATTGTTATTTCATATTGTTTATTAAATATTAAATTTATATGATTTGTGTTCATAGTATTGTTTATAATTTTATATCGTTTCTTTCGCTTGTAATTTTGTATCATTTTTCTTGGATATTTAGATTTGGATTATTTAGTAAATATTGTTGTTTTGTATTGTTCACTAAATATTGAATTTGTATGATTCATGTTTGTATATGAATTTAATTTTATATATTTTAAATGTTAAGCATATTTTTTTTAGTATATCCCTTGATATTTGAGTTGCCCAATAACTTGAATTTAATTTTGTATATTTTACATGCTAAGCATATTTTCTTTATTAAATTAGATTTTTTGCAAGTTATGTTTTTTTTTATTGATTATTGACTATTGAATTTGTATGATTCGTGTTTATAGTATTATTTGAATGAAAGAGAGAGATACAGAGGAATATTTTTGTGATATATATTATTTATCTAATATTTATTACATAATTTTCTTTTAGAAAGAGATACAGAAGAATATTTTCGTAATATATTATTTCTCTATGATATATACTATCTATCTACAAAGAGATGTAGTATTTGCTTGAATTAAACACTTTCTAATATTTGCGTGATATTTTCGTGAGATGCAGAAAAAGATACAAAGGAAAATATTGTGAAAAATTAATATTTTTTGCATAAATTGAGCATGAGAAATATACAGAGGAATGAGAGAGAGATATTTGTTTGATTTAAGGAAAAGATTTGGCGGAATTAAGTTTTGAAATATCAATTTTGAAAACTAAAAATTTTGAGTAACAAAAATATTTCAAAAGAGCTAATGTGGTACGTCAAATCAAAACGATCTGAGAGATCAATAGCTTGAGACAGTTTGGGATAACGCCGTCCGTTGGATGATATTTTTTTTTGCTCACGAAACGATCTAAATTACTCTTTGTCTATAAAATTCAAATTCATTTTACTTTATGATATAGATGTGTGTTTTTGCATGTATTTTGTTAAAAATGTCAATAGTTATCTCAAGATATATTTTTAGTGATAATTTAACAAATATTTACATAAATTCACAAAAATGAAAAGGTAATGAACCCAAGTGTAAGCTTGTAGCTCACTACTATGGATTTCTTCATCACCCATGTGTACGTTTCTACTCTTTGATGCAAATATTTTTTTTTAAACAAATCAACACTTTATTTTATTACTCAAAAATTATTTACAACGGAATAAAAGGTAGATAGACCCTGCCTTAACAAGATTTTAACCCAAAATGAATAAAAGAAGCCAATAGACTTTACAAAAGAATCAAAAAATGAGTCCCTCATAATAGGTAGCCTGCAAATTGAACCAACAACAACAACTTGCTCCCCTACTTTGTAGAAAACGGCAACCTTACCCTTGTATCATTAGAAACCTACACCTTCTTCAATCGAAGAACAGGCAACGGCCTTGAATCATGCAACACAGCCATACCCACAGCAGAAGGCAAAACCAGATTTTCAGAAAAATCAACAGAGCACCTATCATTTTTTTTAAGAAAAGAAGAAGTTTATTTAAGAAAGCAAGGATTACAAGAATCAAAGAATCCGTTAAAACCCAACTAATTACATCATTAACCTCATGGCTTTAATCCTTCAAAATGCCATGTTACAAACAACATTACTACCAGATTGTCAGCCTTCCTTCTCCAAAACTAGAAGCTTCTTCCTCCTTAGAGTAGGCAGCGAACATTGATCTTGATGCAACACCAATTTCCCAGCCACAGGTAGCGACCCAGAGACAGAGAAATCAGCACAGCATTCTGCCTGGACAGCATAAGACACTAAAAAATCTGCAAGAGCATTGGCCTCCCTGTAGATATGCCGAATTCTGACATTTTTTTTTCAATTAATGCAGTAAAGGTTTACCTTTATTACTACAACAAATGAATCCACAAAGGTCATCTAAGACGAAGCAAAGTTCGGACAACCTATAAACCCATTATCAAACACAAAAACTAATCTGCTAAACAATGGTAAGTCTTTTTTAACTTATAAGCCTAAACGATTGTAACGAAACAAGTAGTAGTAATTCTTTGTCATGAAACCAACCTGTCTCCACTAAGAGTGTCACTTTTTAACCCCTTGGCTACCCAAATCAACTGCAACCGTGGCTGCACGATTGAGGACATCTGAAACCCAGAGTGCTCCCTTTGCAAAGTAACTGCTGTTGACTACAGCATTTGTAGTTGCCACAGCCGTTCTCCCTGTACACGATGCAATTGACATGGTGACCTCTGAGACATGGTACTCCTCATCCACAGATTTAACAGTCTCCATGCCCACATTGATTTTATCAGTTAGCCCAGTTCTCTTGCTAAGCTCCGCCACCTTGGCCACTGCAGTGGATGAGACTTGATGCGACTCGTCGAAAGCTTTGGCTTTGGATAATGCATCTTTGCTTAAAACATATCCCTTAGTTATCATGGTTTTCACTACTTGCTTTGTCATGGTTACAGCTTCCCCAGGAGAGGAAATAAACTGATTTGCGTGAGAGATTGTTGAGCTACTCGCATTGCCCACCTTCCATGAATGGTCATTCCAAGGATCACATTCATCTATATATGCTCCCCAGCGTGAAATACATACGCTCTGATCTGCGATGGTAGCCCCACTAAGCAAGATGGCAGTTTCCAGCGCATGAACATGTTTAAATGTCACGTAGGCAGCACAGGCATATTCACCAGATCTGATGATTTCTACATGTTCAATCTCGCCACAGTAAGAGAAGAAGTCATAAACATCCTTCTCTGTTGCTTTAGGAGAGAGGCTTGTTACTTCTGCAGTATAACTACCTGGATACATGGGCTAGAACCTATGTCTGAGCAGGGGGCTGAATCGCTTGGATGACGCAGATGGGTGGAGAGAGAGAAGAACAGTGTGGATTACGGATGATAACCAAACCCCACCGAATTCTAACATTAAGCCTATTAAAAAGACCCCAAATCTGGTCCAAAATAGACTTGCATATCCAAGGCACAACTACCTTACCCAAAACCACTTGTACTAGGATCTGCAAATCAGATTCAATAAAAATCTGATAATCCCCCAAGCTGTATTGCAAAGCCAAATTAATACCATCTAATAATGCCTTACATTCAGCTTGCATATTAGAACCTATGTTATAAATGAAGCTGCAGCCACAACCACATGGCCTTCAGGATTCCTAATTACCATAACCCATCCGACAGTCCAGTTGAACCCTTTAGCAGCACCATCCACATTGAGCTTCAAAGTCCCAGCAGGAGGCGGCTCCCACTTGACCCACATAGCCTTAGTCACCACAGCATATGCAGAGCTAATCCTTAAATCAGCAAGCAGCTCCTTCCCTTTAAAGTCATCAGCAACAGAGCACCTATCATGGACTGCCTGATTCACCAAACAATCAACAACCATATTGGCTTCTCTATACACACGCCCCAACTCAAACTCAACCATCCCCAAAAGCTCCTTAATCTGTCTCAAAAGATTCATCGAAGCTCATGAACATCCACACTTCCCCTTCACAGAATTGACCAGCACTAAAGAGTCAGCCCCATCTGTGTTAAGCACTCCAGAAGGAGCACAAGCACAGTTAACCCAGACACACCTTCTTTCCACATGATAAGCAGGCATAATTCTGAACTCCTGCAAAATAGCACTTCCTATTACACCCTCCTCCACCTTTTCTCTAATATGCTTCACTTGGAATCTCAGAATGCTACAAATTTTAAGAAAAATAGAGTATGAGAGCTTTGATGCAAATATTGCCCTGATACATTCCCCCCAAAAAGGAAAATCTTCCTCTGAATTCACATTAAAAAATGGAGAGAGGATTAGGGAATTGTATGGGTTCGTGGATACATACAACCACTCTCCACACACAGTATAAAAAATTAATAAATTGGGAGCTCATTTTATCAAATGCTTCACATGCATATTGATTCATAGATAATTTTAGAAAAAAACCATTCATTCAATAATCACCTATCATAGTTTATTTGCATGTCAAATTGTAATCCCAACCACTTAACCAAAATTAGGTGGTTGACTATCAAATTCAAAAAGCTTATGCACATATTTGTTCACTCTGATGAATTTGGCATCTACCAATCTTGTGCCTATAAGTTAGTATACTACTACTGTTAATAACAACTCCATTTCATTAGCTGGAATCAAGAGCGCACCAAAAAATTAATAATACCTCTAAACAGAACAAACCGACTGCCTTGCTTTGATAGAATGTGATCCTCTTCTGCTTTGATGATTTGATCGTTGAAGCAAAAAGAAAATCTGAAACCAAACATCATATTTCATTAACGATCAGTGAGAGAGAGGGAAGCTCCAGCATCGTTAATGGAACTTTCCGGTGTCATCGAGATGATAGAAGAAAGTATGGCCGGAGGTATTGGCAGTCGATGGCTACATGTCAACACAGTACAAGAGCAGCGGCAGAGATCGAGAGAGATTGAGAGATATGGGGGGGAAGGGAGAAGGCAAGTGTTTTAATTAAAAAAAAATTATTGGAACTTCTTCTTAATACCTTATTTAAGCTTAAAAATTACTTTTATTTATTAAAAGTATTTTTAAAAAATTGATCAAAACACTACTTTTTTTTTTTTAAGTATTTCTGATAAATCAAAATATAAAAAAAAACGTTTTTTTTAAGGTATTCTAAACACACTCTTAATATAGATGAATAGAAAATTGCATATCTATGGGATAGAGAGCCACTTTGAGGAGGAGGGTTTTACAATTTGCGATTGGGGTGTATGTGTTTTGGTGGGTGGATGGATGGTGCGACAGTGGTTTCGTTGGGGTGGGAAGAGATGTGTGTGTGTGTGAGAGAGAGAGAGAGGAGTTGATGGGGAACTGGTTTTTGCCGGAGGGAATAGGGGTTTTCATCGGAGGGAGAAGGTGCGAGTTAATTGAAAAAATTCAAACTTTAAGGGAGTAATTTGTTAAAATTAAAATAGGAGGGTGTTGATTGCTACAAAATCCAAAACTTGAATGGGTTATTTTATAGGGTTAATTGTAAATTGTATTTTAAAAAATTGTTCGAATCTCAATTTACACTCTTAAATATAGAAATATGTATCAATGCGCACCTGAAGTTAAGTATAAAACTAAATAGATAAATTATACTTACACTTTTCATGTTTGTCACTTAATTACTTAGATCCTTCACATTTGAAATATTATACTTATATTCTTAAGAATTCAAATATGACTAAAAATGTTTTTCCAATTGGACATTCAAATAATTTTGTTCAAGTAATGTATTGCATTGAATATAAAGAATATTATATAAATATTTTCATTATACTGAGTATTCAAATAGTAAGCTTAATTTTGAATATTAGAGTATAACGGGCCCACAAAATAAAAGGTAGTATGAAAATTATAATTTTTTATTAGAATAAAATCATGTTTTAATAGTTATATTAATAGATATTAACGACAAGATGTTATGTATAACACGTGCACAAACATCAAGAGGTGTAGGTATAATATTTTAAATATGAGGGGTCAAAATGATTAAGTGACAAATTTAAAGGATTTAGGTATAATTTACCCAATTAATTTTAGCCGGCAAACTGATGGCTATTAGTTTATGGTATGCATTGATACAAATTTATATCTTTAAAGATAAAAATTAAAAATTTTAATTTTTAAAAGTGTAAATTAAGATTCGAACGTTCTTTCAAAATGCAATTTGTGATTAACTCTATTTTATAAGTGTCCCTATTTCTTATGTACCCATAGGTTTGTATATGGATTTGAATTAACTTTCAGGTCGATTTATATTAATTGATTGCCTCCATTATGTTATTAGAAAATTCAGGCACATCTTTTTCTAGCTCTTCGATAAAACAATACATTCTCGTAATTAAAATAGAAGGCAGAACTAATAAAGATTTATTTTTCAATTTATCCTTGGAGTTGAATAACTCATTCGATAATTGTCAAATCCGTAGGATTCAATAAAAAACACAAATTCCTTATCATACATCAAATTCAACTCGATGTTGATGGAGTGAATAAATCTGCCATTTTTTTGAAATATTTTATCTAATTCAAAATTGTAATGAAACGTGTATCTTCCGCTATTCTGATTCGGAAATAGATGAACTAAATCGAGAAATAATTTTTATGTTAAAAATAGAATCTTATTAGAACTCTCAATATCCGGTGATACCTAGTTATCTAGTCCATTTCCCATGCATTGCATAGCTGGTTTTGATTGATGTATTATCAAGCTACATTTAAAAAAATTCAATGTATTTGCACAAGAATAACACAGTTAGCCCCTCACAGTTAGCCACTGTAGCAAATCACCCTCCTCGACTTCAAAAATAACACATAACCCTCTTATGGTTAGTGAACTAAAATGTACTATCACTTTTTATAATCTAATTTAACGGTTCGTATATGTCGCACGTCAACACACGACAGTACATAAGGCATTCCAATCTAAATTGCTCGGCTGCTAAATAGGTCTGTGATTCTTCAAATTTGTCATCAGGCAATTATTATTTTTTTTAGGAGACTAAAACTGCTACAACAATCTTCCAAGTTTGTTGCAAAGGTAATTGGGTATTTGGGTTCATATAATCCTGACTAAACTTTATACAGGCATTGCAATTAGTTCATCATCCCTGCACTGTCTTATACCAATGGTCATCAATTTATTGTAAGATGGTATAATGTCACAGCACTGGCGACGCAAAGCCTTCACCTGAAACATTGGAGAAGAATCAGAGTGCACCCCAAATGACTATAACGAGAGAGAGAGAAGAATATGGCTCATTTCAGAATCTATATTACCTGTCCAGTACCCATATCCAATTTCTCCGAAAACACCCTGATCTCTTCAAAATTCTTCCTCACTGTGATTTGAGAGCAATTTCCACTAGTATTGTGCCTGATGTAGTATGTCCATACCCGATTATTTGCACCAGAAACAACACTTTTGAAATAGAAGACAGCAGGTCTTTTGCATGGATCCTCATGCTGCTCTCTTGTTTTGAACATATAATTCAAATCAGCACCTACAGAACAGAGAGATTACACTTTGTGATTTGGGCGTATTTGTAGGAGATCTACCGCGCCAATAAGCAAGAGTGATCTGATAGTTGTTGATCGTAATAAAGATTGGAGAAAAAATATCATTAGTTTTGAACTAAAGGCCATGCTAAGGCGTGTGGTCGATGCGTTGGGAGTACCTATTGATGGAAGAGGGGCTATAAGGGATCACGAGCGAAGATGTGTGTCAAACTATACAAGAGCCTATGCAAACAGGGTTAACGACTTTGCCAACGCAACATTAGGGTCGTCCCCTTTGTTCTATGCTGACCCCGGCCCGAGATGGCTTTTTGGGAAGCCTATTCTCACCGAGCTCACCCGGTTGGCCTGCCAGCTGTAGTGGGAATTCTCCCCTGGTCAAACATTTGGCTGGATGCAGGATCCACTCTACGAGGAGCGGTACAGACGTAGATGATATTATCATGACCTCTCTTTAATGAAACACGATTTATGCAACCCATCTCAAAATATTGAGACAATGCTTTGTTGAGATGAGTTTCTGAGTTCAAATCCTCACCTTTTTTTTCCCATGACTTGAAAGTTTCTTCGACTGACAGGAGATCAGAAAGAAGATGATTGCCTTCAAACACTTGGACAGCATAACCCCAAGCAACTGATACAGTGAATGAGTTTAAAGTGTCATAGCATACAGTCTGTTGCAATATTCTAGCAGGATCAACATTGGAAACTTCGAAAAGGTGTTCCAAAGCTTGAGTCCTGGTCATGTTGGGGAAGATTGGATCCACAAAATCTAAGTGATGGAGAGATACTAAAGGTGATAGTGGGAGTGATGACAGCACTCCAAAGAGGTTTCCCAAAAGATCGACCTGTCATGAAATTCATAATTACATAAATTACCTCTATTCGACTAAATATAAAATACAATGTTGAACAAGCATAAGAGTAATACAATTTGGACTTAATTTGCTCATTTAATTTATCACAATCATTAGATTGATGAGTAATGTTATGTTTATTAAATTTCTTACCAAGTTTTTCATTCTAAGTAATGTGGCACAATCTCCATCATTGAATATTAATGAGACCTACTTATTTGATGATAAAAATTGTGTCACATCACTTGAGATAGAAAACTTGGTAAGCAATCTTGATTAACATATCATTATTGTAGATTGATAGTGGGTCCTCGTATTTTTAGGGATCTGTTATTGTTAAACAATCATCTACTCCAAAAGCATAAGCTGTTGGAGAGGGTATAACATAAATATTTATATTTCAATACGTCCTCTCACATACAAGCTTGATTTTGGGCTTAGAACGTGTAAATCGTTTAATAATTGAATAAAGGACCTTCTGTCCTGATATTATGTTGAACAATCATCTACTCTAAAAGTTTAAAATTTTAATCCAAATTTTTTTGAAGTAAATGATAGCTATTAATCCAATGACTACGTTGCATTAAATTTATAAATTATATCCACAAATTAAATCTAAATAATATTAGCGTAAGCATAACTAGGGAAAGAAATGAAAACTAGAAGCGACAGAAGTAACAATTTGAGTTTAGTCAATTGACTGGAAGGTCCATTAATGTATCATTAATAGGCATTTTTTATTACAACAAAAACTAATTCTATATTAGATTATTAATTTAGATCGTCAATTTAGATCTTAATAACGTTACTCATCTCCACCATGTTTTGTACCATGTGCAATCTTATTATTATCATTATTTGTGTAAAGAGGTGCAATTTACTTCCTTGAATAACTGGAATTTGGTAGCTAGATTACAATGGTTGGTGGATTAATTTTTAAGAGCATGCTTTTTTTCTTATATACTTCAGTAGAGAACTATCATAACGAACTACCACAACTTAGAACAATGAATGTATAATGTACAAAGAAGAAAAAACAACCTAGGTGGTAAAAAAAAGCCCCGACAATGGGACGCATTGAGTGCTTATAAGCCATTATGCGACACTGCTATGTAATGTCTATCACCTTTAAAATATTATACATTCCTAATCGCATGACACTTCCGCTCGTTATCTTATAAACACTCAATATTTTCTCTCATTTAAGTCTGTTTAATAACATATTTCATCTCCTATGATTTCAAAAATGCACTTAAATTGTTGAGGTTTAAGGTCAACTTATGGTTAGTCCTTAATGGTCAGTTGACCAACTATATCTTCATGGGTAATTCTACGCTACCCAAAAAAAAAATATTATATCGAAAGTTATTATTTTTTTTAGGTCAAGTTATACCTTTTAAAAGTAAAGTTACAATTATTTGAGGAAACCTCATGATTGATCTCTCACAATTAATCGTATACGTTCCTTGATCAGTTGTAATTTCACATTTAAAAAGTAACTTGATATCAAAAAATAGTAATTTTACATTTAGAAGTTATAATTTTAATCATTTTTTGAGTAGTTATTTTTACCTAAAAAATGTATAAATCTCAGTATGATGTCAAACTTGGTATCATAGCTATTTAGTATCTTTTATCCTAAATATTTAAAATATTTATCAATCCTCCACCACCCCCCCCCCCCCCCCCTTCTCCCTTATCCTTTTCATTTGATTTTTGTTGCTTTTGGTCAATTTTAACTAATATTCAGTAAGCAAAATCGGCCAAACGATATGCCCCGGTGTTAAGGTCCAAAAAAATTGGTAACTGCCTGATAAAGGGTTAGATAGTAACTTACCCGATTGGGTGTTATTTTTAAAACAAAAAAAAAATGGAGTGTAAATTTAAAAGAATTAATTACAAGGGTAATTTAAGTGGTAATATGAATGATTTGTAAATTCAGACGTCTTGAATTTAAATTTTGACAATCCTTTGAGACCAAACAATAATGAATTTATCCTTCATGAATACCCTAATCTCTGCGTAGATAGTCTGCCTTTGACCAAACTAAAAAAAGAATTAATCAATGTGCACATAAGTTAGTCCAGATATCTCCTGACAGTTGAACCAAAAAAAAAAAAGGAATAGTGCTAGAACAATGTTTGTTGGACCTAATTTCTTAATGAGTTGGTTACAAAATGTCTACTTCAATTTTGAGTAGATTGTCATTTACTCCTTCAGATTTTAATTTTAATAAATAACTCCTTTTAAGTTTTAATATTATACAATTAAAACCAAAAGTTAATTTTAGACCATAAAAAATGACAAAAGTTAAATATGAGAAATTCACGCAATATTTACTTTGTTGAAAATACATAATTACCTCTAAAAATATGTGTGTGTGTGTGTGTGTGCACGTGTATTTTGGCATTGGGCGAAGGTGGAGGTGGAGGTGGAGGTGAAGGCGAACATTGTGTTGTGTTTTGTAGTGTGTTGGTTTGGTGTTGGATTGAATGGATAAATTTTCATCTTGACTTTTCTATTTTCTTATTTTTAAAGATAGAATAGGTATATCACAAAAAAAATGTGGAAAATAATGTACAAGATGGAGAGTCTAATAGTACTTTTATATATTAGCAAATGTTATCAATCAATTTACTCTATTTAAAACTTAAAAGGGACAAACTGCAGCATGTAAAACTACAAAGGGCTAATTGCGTCAAGGGCATAATATGAGGGGCCAAATTATAATTAACCATTTATTATTGCAAGTTATTGACTTAATTATTATGCATAACTATTGGATTGATATATATATATATATATATATATTTTTTTTTTTTTCAATGGTCGGTGGTGTTCACACACTGCGACTAATCTCTTTCTCAATCTAGTCAAATATAAGTCATCCTCAATGGAACTAGAGTATTCATAAGGGATAAATCTCTATAGTTTGATCTTAAGGGGTTCTCAAAATTTGAATTCAGGACGTCTGAGTTATCCTAAATATTGTTGGATAGATAGTTGAGCCAATTATTAGTGGACCCGTTAGGAATATGATGATTATGATAAATTATATTAATAAATTAAGTTTAAATAATATTATTAAATTAAAGGATTTTTTTATAATATGTTGATCTAATGATATGGTTGAATTCTAATGGTTGATGTGATTCCAATGTTTGATGAGATTTATAGTCAAACAAAAAATTATTATGTAAGAAAATTAGGTTTAAATAACATTATACAAAATAAATATTAATAAATATAAAACAATAGTTTTTTCACTTTACCTGATGAAAACCAGATTCATGTGTTAACTCAACACCAAGCTCTGCCAAGCAGGAGAAAACCCTAGCATCACTCCCATACAAATGTGGGTACCTCATGAGACACGAATCCAAAACCCTAGCTAAAACCCTAGCCAAAGAATGGCTGATGGCGAACCCTGCACCACCAAACCCCATCTCAAACGAGAAATACTCATTCAGCTCATAACGCTCCGAGTTAGCCCCCACATAAAACCACCTATCATGGTCGTACTTCGCCAGCGTCTGAACCAAATTCACCGTGAAAAACACTGTGTCATCATCGCCGAAGACGAACCATCGGATGGCAGAGTCGTTCTGTTCGACGGCTTGTTTTACGATTCGCGCAATGCGAATAGCGTAACGATGGCCCCATTGGAAGTTGTAGGGAAATTTTGAGGTGTTGCCGTAGATGAGGGTTGGAGGGAGGGTGGTGGTGGTGGAAAGGGAGGAGATGGGTGTCGGGCGGTCTAGGAAGAGGTAGGCTCTTGTGGAGTTGGGTTTGTACCAGAGGCGAATGTAGTCATTGCGTTTGGGGAAGGTGTCGGAGGAGGAGGCGATGGAGAAGAGAATGTGGCGAAGGGTAGTTGGAGTGGTAGTTGTGTTGCTGGAGTTACTGCTTAAGGTGGTGTTGGTGTGGAATGATGGGAGAGTGGAGGAGGAGCGGTGGAGGTGGAGGTGGAGGAGGAGGTAGAGGAAGAAGAGAAAGGAGATGATTAAGGAGAGGTCTTTGATGTGATATTGGGTTCTTAGATTTCTGGAAATGGGCATGTTGAGAGAGAGAGAGAGAGAGAGATAATATTTGGCTTGAACGCTGATTTAGCTTGCTGATGCATAGTTACAGCTTTAATGGCGGTGAAGGAAGGCATTGAGTTATTAGTTTCCGTCAAAACGATGCGTTACTTGCATACTATCAGGAAAAAAGAAAACGTTACGATTGATATTGTCTGGCACGGTGAAATTTACCATTTAATATTGAAAATTTTCTTTTTTTAGACAATATTTGATGATAATATTTGATGATCAAATGTATCATACGCATTAAATTGATAGCTGACCCAATGATTGAATCATTGATTCGGTCTTTTTGTTGATTTGATGTTTAATTCAATTCTAATAATTATAATTAAGACAAAATAAAATTGTTATCGCGGATCAAGTTTTAATGTTGATTGGGATCATCGGGTTATTTTTGAAATGTGAATAGGTATTTTTTAAATGTGAATAGGTATTTTTGTTATTTGACCTAATGTTAAGAGATCTAAGTGACATTTTTTCAAAACAGTATTCTTTGAAGCTTTTGACCCATTCCATGGGATTTTAAAAAAAAAGTCGGTTGATTTGAAAATAATTTCCAAATTCAAGTTTCTTTAAAAAAATTCAAATTGTCTGATATTTTTAGTTTATAGACTGACGTGATTATTTTTAAAGTGTCAGCTCATTTGACTTTTAAAAAAACGTTAAATGAATTCACGTTTTTAGGCAACCAAAACCCATTCGTCCCTCCTTCCTCTTTCCCTCTTCTTTCATTCTCTCCATCACTTCCATCTTTCCCAAATTTTGTGCCCTAAATTCATTTAGGCGACCCAGCAGCCACCACCCCTAACCTCCTTCAGGCGCGCCTCCACCATCCACACCAGCGACCACCACCACCCATCTACACCAGCGAAAGACCACCACCACCAATCTACACCAGCGAGGACCACCACCTACTGCTCGTCCACTGTGACAGTAGATAAGTGTTGTCCCTTTCTATTTTATTTGTTGTAATTTGTTGTTATTATCTGAATATCAGCTCTCTAATCAGTTCCCACCGTATTTTCTGATTTGATATTATCTAATTTGTTGTACTTAATCAGCTCCCTAATTAGATAAATTGATTTGTTGTGGTGACATTGTGATTTTTCTTTCGTGGTTGTGATATTGTGGTATTGAATTTAATAAATTTTCTGCTGGTGCTGGTGATATTGTGATATTGGATTTAATGACTTAAGATAGCGACTTTTCCTGCTCTTTCTGCCCAAGAAACCCTTTATTTGGGAAGTATCTGCTATTGATTTAGTTTTTTTGTTGTTTGGGTTCAAAGCTTTTTATGGATGATTTAATTTGGGTGAACTGAAATGGGTTATGAGCTGTAAAGTTCAATTGGGTTTGCTTTACTAGATCTTGGATTGGTTGTTTGGTAGTTTTGTGTGATTTGATTAGTTCATTTTTGTTCTCATGTTGTGCTGTCTATTTGTATTAGGATTTGATGGTTTGTTTTGATTTTTTCAAAAAAAGAGATTATTGACTGTTGGTGGAAATTTTTGATGATAAGCAATTGCGCAAATATGTTTTCTGTGAGAAACTGTTACATTGTGATGGCCATTTGAAAAAAATTCCGTAATTGTGTACAGTGAGGAAGTTTTATGGCATAAGCATTTGAGCTGATTCTTTTCAATGGTGGTGGTGCTTGGATTTGGGGTATTGAGTTGATTATTGAAGTATTGAGTTGATTACTAAGTGTGCGTGCTAGATTTCCTACAATATAAAAACGAGAACAGATATCTCCCTTAGTGAACTCGAGTGAATCAGTGGAGTGGTCAACCACGCCGCTTGAAACAGCCTGTGAGATCCTGTGGTAACCTGGAACGGTAATGGGAGGCGCCAGATTGTGCGTGTTAGATTTCGCACAATATAACCTTTGCTACAATACACACTCAGTGTTTTCTTCTTCCTCTCTCTCTCAAAGACTGACTTGATCGTCGGAGGGGATACGTCGGAAAATACTCCGGCGCCCTTCTAACTTGTTCTTCTTTGTTCCAGGAACCTTTCTTCAGCCTTACTAGATCGTTCCTTTGATCCACGAGGGTCTCTCATTACCGTTCCAGGTTATCACAGGATCTCACAGGCTGTTCCAAGCGGCGTGGTTGACCACTCCACTGATTCACTCGAGTTCACTAAGGGAGAGATATGTTCTCGTTTTTATATAGTGCGAAATCTAGCACGCACACTAAGTTATTGAGTTGAGTTGAATTATTGAATAGATTTCAAATATTGAAATATTGAATTGATTTTTTTTGAGTTGATTATTAGTGCGTTGATTATTGTTGAGTATATATTTTGTGAAATGTTTAGCCTAAATTGTTTTCAAATTGGGTTTTCAGTTGATCTTTCTTATTTTTATATTCAGGTTTTTCCATCTATGGTACTATCCCCAAGCTAACATTGAGATCTTTGGCCAGGTGACTTACAAAAACAGCACCAAAAACCTCTATCTTGAAGCTATTTGTTGGTCTTTTCAGAGAAATATGAGTGTTTTTTGTTGCATGCAGGGATTTGTCACTTGGACAATTACCTGTTATTTTGTTTACACGCCATTCTTGTTTAATTTGTCACGTTGGCTCAAAGACGTTGTCACTGCTGCAGCTGCTGATGGGAAGTCTGCCTAGACCAATATATCAGTAGTGATTCTATAACTCGTTTGATGAAATTGAGTCAATCTAACAAATTCTCAATGTACCTAGTTGTGAGTTTATCAACATGATGTATTATGAAAAGAACGACCATAGTGGTAGCAGCCTCTACATGAGTTGTTCAAAGTTCTACCATTTGCAGACACTCAAGGCCAATAGTTGGAATATCATAAAGTCGCTGGTGCAGCAGGTGGTGGTCGCTTGGTGGTGGTGGTCTTTCGGTGTGGATGGTCGCTAGAGGCGCACCTGAAGGAGGTTACAGGTGGTGGCTACTGGGGGAAGATGGAAGTGATGGAGAGAATGAAAGAAGAGGGAAACAACAGGGAGGGAAAGATGGGTTTCGGTTGCACTAAAAAAGTCAATCCATTTGACGTTTTTAAGCTTTAGGAATGGGCTATAATATTGGGTTAAATACGTCAAATGGACTGACGTCTTTAACTTAGAAACGTCAGTTCATTTGACGTTTTTAAAAAAGACGTGGGTTTGAAAATTATTTTCAAACCAATTCTTAGTTGAAACTTTTTTTAAAAAAATCTCATGGGATGGGTCAAAAGCTCATATTCTTTGGTTTCAAATAAAAACAGGAGGCAATGTTGACAAAAATAGAGATTAAATGACCTGGTGTTTTTGTTGGCAAATCCCACTTTTACACATTTGGAATTTCATATTTTTTAATTGTAATATCATATTATTTAGTCTCTATTTTTTTGTCCAATTTTTTGGTTAGCCTATCATTACTCTTTCTTTTCTTTTTTGATGACAAAGAAAGTCTTGCTATTACAATTTTTAGAAATAAGGGTTCATTGTACGACCATTGCTAGTTTAATTGGACAGTCCCAAATAAAGTTTGTTCATTGGAAAAGGGCTCCATGTGGTTTTATATTATTTTTTTTTTCCTTCCCAACTTTAGCAGAAAGCAACAATTGTTTGCGAATGTTTTAATTCAATACCTCACCACCATAATTGTTAGAAGTGAGTGAGTGGTTTAGCTTGACTTTTGTTAATTCAGAGATTTTAGATTCAATCCTTTTTCACATTTCTTAAAAGTTAGTCACCATTGTCACTTTAGGGACATGCTCTAATCTAGTTCAAGTTACGATGACCAATTGTTGAACTTGAAAGAATAGTCGACATAAGCTTAGACACCTTATAATAAAATAAAATAAATAAACAACTCACCACCATGGTTTTAGCCCAAGTGACTTCAAGTGGCCTATAAGAGACTCATTATTCTCTCATAGATCTTAATATGTCCACAGCTTACACTATTTTTCAGAGCTAGCTCTATGGGGATATGCAAACCCATTATTTATCCATGAATAAAATGAGATGGTCGATTTAGAGTGGTTGGTAATAGACCGAACCATGCAAACAAAGTGCAATCATAACTGGAATTGATTGGAATTGGGCCTGAATAAGAAGTCAATCAGCCCATACGAGTCCAATCATTGTTGCTGAATCGTCAAAACCTATTAATATATAAATGAATAATATTATTGGGATTTTTAAAAAATTAATATTTCTTTATTTAATAATATAACAGTAACATGGTCCAATGATTCTATAACTTTTGAATTTTTTCATTATGATTTCATCACTTAACACAACATTAGATTAATTTTTTAAATCTCAATAATATTCTTATTTTATATAAATACATCGCATTATGTTCCATTTTATTGGCAATTCTAGACCATGCTTCATTTCGGACCAACACTAAGCCAGGGGATGGATAAAACTATGTGCACCAAATTATCTGCCGCCATTACGTTAGATCAGTAATGAGACTCATTGATTCAGTGACTACAAATGATTTAGTGCACACTTTTAGTATGCATAGCATTGTTGTTTCGTAATTGATGCAAAACCTTAAATTAACATTTTCTATCAACATGGACATGTTTGAAATCTAAGTATATCATTAGTCGATTCATAAAAGTTGTAGGGATTAACTTTCGGTGTAAGAATACATTTGGGAATTTTTAAACTCAAAAGAATTTTATCAAAAGTGGGTAATCTATGAAGTTTATCAGTAATTAATGTATCATATTTAATAGGATTAGGTTTTCTAATTAGATCATAATTAAGGTTATTAACTAATGCCTATAAATATGTTGTAATCAGATAAATAATGAAAAATCACTCTTGTGAACATAAGTAGAATTTCTATCAATCTTGCGTTCTTATTTTCTTAATTATTTTATTCTTGATTGGTTCACAAAAAAAATGGAATCAGACTAATGATCCGGGATAAACACTTGAAGAAGTGATGTAACGTATTAGTATTCATGATTGCTCTTAAGTAAAATGATAAGCTCTTGGTATTAAAGTCATTGAAACACAATTAAAAAAAAGAGCAGGGCGCGAGCATACGTGCAAGAATTCTTAGTGGAATCGTAATGTGGTAACTAATAAAGAGCAGTAAAAGACTTATTTTTTTGGAAGAACGGACTCTTGTAAGTGGTTGGACATGGTGCTTAAGAAGAGTGGTGGATCAGATTCTTCAAAAGGGGTTAGCTCGATGTGGTTCACACGTGAAGAAATATTGTTGGGTATTTCATGTGTGAGAATATCACATCGAATAAAAAAAAGAAGTTATATCCTAATATACAATTGATAGATTCATTACCTATCCATTTAACCTTTTATATAGGTATAAGTTCTGAACATATATATTAAGTCTTGAATCACTAGACTCTCTACGCTTTCTAACAGTAGTGTTTGTACAACTGCCCACCGTCGGCTGATGAAAGAGTAATTCGCTCCATGAAAAGTTTTTTAGTTGCTCACCCCTAGAGAGCTAAAGGCAATTTTCATTAATGATTGTGATTAATCCTCCCGTTACTTAGTTTATACATTAGAAAAAAAAGGAAAAATAAATAAATGATTTACCACTCACAGAGAAAAAAGAATTAAAAAAAATACTATGTGGGTTAGATCTATAGCAATACTAAGTGCTCATAAATCATAAGTGGATCTTCAATTAGATGCAGATTGAATCTGCAGCAATAATAAACAGTCATTTACTCAAATAATACCTCGTAAGTTCGTGTTATAAAATTATAAATCATTTATTGCATATATCTCTCAAACTATTGTAGAAACCTTGTATACTAAAGATTATATTTTGTAGGATGCTTTATTTGGATGAAAGAGAGAAGATTTGGATGAAGGAGAGAAGATTGGTTAGTGCAAGGGGACGAGGGTGGAAGGAGGAAACAACTGGCAGGTAGGAACCCTCGTCTCTCACATTCAATAGAAGACAACACGACAGATGCATGGTAGGACGGTTAAGTGTGTTTAGGTCAGTTTATGCGTACTTCAACTAATTTTTTTCTTAGTTCGATCAAAAACAAGTCATCCACACTGGGCTATATTATTCATGACTTGACCCCAAATTTTTATATATGGGTCTAACGCATCATTTGGCAGTGCTTGTGGTCCATTTGATAAGACAGAAAAAAAGTTGATTGGGTCCATTTGATAAGATAGAAAAAAAGTTGAAGGGAAGAAAAAATAGGAAGGGTTGACTTTTCATCCCTTGATGATGGAAAAATATTTTCTCTTTTTTCCATTGGTTGGTATTGAAAGAAAAATGAAAAGAAAGAAAACACATAAACTTTAATTTATTATTTTACCCTCACAAAAAATTGCTATAATGTCCTTATATATTTCATCTATAGACATTTTTCTCCTATAACTTTTTTTTTCTGAAAATGTTAAAAAAAAAAAAAAAAGAATATGTTGTTGTTTAACAACTCACATGGGACAAGTGAAATGCCACACCAAATGGAATGTGGTGTTAAGTTGAACACGTGGAAGAGTTGAAGAGTGAAGAATTTTAACATGGGCAAATAAGTAATTATAGCATTGTAATTTAAAATAGCCCATTCTCTCTACAGTTTTCCGCCCACAATTTTCTTTTTTCACCCATTTTTCCTTCGAAACCAAACGGTGGAAAATCAATCCCTCCCTCCTATTTTCCACTCTCTATTTTTCATCGTCTCCGTTTTCCCTCAAACCAAACACAGGGTTAGTGTTGTGCACAGTTAATGAAAATTTGTGTGATGACTGATGAGTGTCATCTCGGGAATATACAATTTTCGATTAGTTATGTACACCATTTATGTATTAAGCACACACAAAATTTCTCCATTGCACCACATTATTTTGTCAGAGTGTAATGATTCAAAGAAAGGGACACCACCCCCTCATCTATATCCCATACGCTACACTTGGGAAGTTTTAGCCCAAGGATTTTAGACCACTTGACAAAACAAATTTCAACCACTCTTTAAAAGGTGATTAAACCACTTTTAACATCTTCCAAATTCAATTACTTGTATCATACGCACAATAATAATAATTACACAATCAACACTTAGTAGAGTTTTTCACATAAATGTTAATGGTTTTAGTAAACACTAGTGATATTAGATGATATGATTGTGTTGTTGGATAAAATATTTCGATCGTACAAGTGCGATTAATTTAAACCATACAAATTCAACTAAAACCTTCTAAATAAAGTTAAACACACTGTCCAAAAGCATAATACTTAGTGTTAAAATGAGTAAGCAACAAGCCAAGAGATCTGAAATTGGATGGCACATAAGAGTTGAAGCTTTGAACTCTCAACCACAAGTGTGGACTACTACCATAACAGTGCAACATTTTTGTTTGTGGACGAAGACCATTCTGCTACTCTCTTCTTTACACGTTCCATTAATGGGTTGGAGCAGAAAGGAATTGGCATCGAAGCCATTGGAAGAAGTCAAATCAGTTCTTACCCCCCCCCCCCCCCAGGTTGTCCTACATGCAGAGAATTCTATATTTTCTGGTGGGCTCCACCATGAAAAGCTTTAATTCTAGGCCATACAACTACCTTCTTCTTTAGTAAACAACATTGACTTGGTAACCACTCACCCAAAGAAAAAATCATGGCTCATAATATCCCTTGAAGCATCTCAGAAAGCTTAAAGCTTAATCAAGTATTCTTTTAGCATTTCTTTTTTACATCTATTGTTAAAATTTGCTAAACACAAATCACTCCTGTCCTAAATTACTGATTTGCCCCTTGGTTCAATGAACCCATCTTATTGATTGGAATACAATTATCCGCCAAATTATTCAGTAAGATACAAAGTGTTTATTTCATTTGATGTATAATCAAAAATAGTAAAAATCGATCATAATGTCTTCCTGATCTAAAATGTGTACACTAAATTCAGATTCGCTAGACCTCTTAATGATTGATCATTTGTTACGTGTTGGTTTGGCAAGGGTATCCCTTAAATCATGGTTTGTTATAGGGGTGAGGATCTAAATCTCTGCACATCAAAAACGAAAATTAAATTGACATGTGTTTAAGAAATATTTAAAGACAAGAAAATAGTTTGGAAGGCATAGCAATTAACACACCCTTGTGAAAGAGCATGGCCCTAAAAGAGAAAAAGGGGCCAAGAAGTTGGAAACAAAGGCAATTTGTGATGTAGTGGCATTCTTGTCATTTCACTGAAAGTCTAGGAAAAATTCTTACCAATGAGCCCCATGAAAATGCCATTTGATGTTAGTTAGCATTCTTATAAATGGCAGGTTTCTTTCCAACTTCTCAACCTTAAAATTTTGTATTAAAAAAAAATATATGTGCAGAGGTAGAGAAGAAGTGGGAAGCCATGGCGGTTTCAGCCTGCCTGAGACCCTGAAAGAGGTGGTTCCAGGTCATGCCACCGGAGGTGGCTCGGTGTCTTGCGAGCTCTGCAGTTCAAGGGCCTCTTTATATTGCCAAGCTGATGATGCATTTCTATGTCGAAAATGTGACAAGTTGGTACATGGGGCTAATTTCTTAGCACAAAGGCACATTCGATGTTTGCTTTGCACCACATGTCATAGCCTTACAGATCGATATCTCATCGGAACTTCAGTCGTGGTGGTACTTCCACCTCTTGTGTGTTGGATAGAGAAAAGCCAGTGTAATTCAAATGTTAAAGCAAAGTACTCTGCAACACTGAAAAAGCCTTACCTGTTTCTTTGATTTTTCGCCTTTTTATCTTTCTTTTTCTTTTTTTTTTTGGCCTCTTCTTGAGGTATTCTGGATTTGGGATTGGCTGGGAATTAGTCACATTCATGTTTAGTATCTTATCTGCAAGGCATATATAGATTATAGAGCATACTAGAGTTTATAGCTTTTCTGGATATCTTTGTGCAGCTGTTTGAGATAAATGATTGCAGAATTTTCTTTTTCCTTTGCGTCATTTGGTATTTATTCGTAGAAATAGCTTCTCTACACACAGGTAAAACTGTATTCATTTGATCCCCTTCCAGTCCAGCAATGACGGGAGCCTCAGATTGTCCTTCATAAGCGTATTCATGTTACTAGGGAGCTTTTAAATCGTATTCATAAGCGTATTCATCTAATTAAGGTCCAAATTATGACTACCCGTGAGAATGTAAAAACAGCACATCACAGTATATCCTACTCAAGAGATTTTAAGGGCATCCAGATCTGCAACTTCATGGATGATAATGGTGATTATTAGATAAAGAAACCATTTACAATAACAAAGATAGCGAAAATGAAAATCCAATGGAACTTTTTACTTGTGTATTGTGTCTCATTCTCACTGACATCTATTTTTCGACCATTTACATGATCATGAAGATTTTAACACGGAACAATGTAACCATAAAAATTTTGTATTGAAGCTCAGATTTATCAATTTTTTTTTGACAAGCAAGGAACAATTGACCAGATGTTACAGCTTGAGCATCTCCATAACATGAGCATGTGAAGCATGGGGGACTATTCAATACCTTATCTTAACACGCGATTTGTTGCAGTGTTGGAAGCAGACTCCATATCGCAAATCTAGCTTTCACACGCTTTCTAGTATCAGCTCTTGCTTTATGACAAGCATATCTTATTTGTTTGCCAAAACTGAAATCAACAAGCGTAAATTCAAGGAGCTGCACTGCAGAATCAATACTTCACTCCATTTCAAAGAAAGGGTTTCAAATCAAAACATCTTGAATGCTGTAATCACTAAGCTTCTTAAAATTTATGCCATTGATTTGTTATTCTTATGTGCCATTGATTTTTTTTCGAAAAAATATTACCTTTTACAATAATTTAAAGAAATGGTTGTGTTTGGAAATTTGGATCATGACATAATTGTATAACTGTAGGAAATTTGTTAGGCAGAGTTACATGTGTCCTGGAAAACAGTAATACTAGTTGAGAATTCCGACAAGTAATCCTGCAATACCCGCCACCACTCATAGCCTGCATCACATTAGCTGATCCAACAACTAGTGACAATTGAAAGGCAATGCAATCTTACTGTACCGATGATGCTGACTAGCAATAACACCGGTAAAACCAGTTCTATTAAGGGACCAAGCACGTTCTGTTTCGATTTTACAGGTTGATTGTCCATTCTGTTATACTGATTTATCTAAAACTTCTTTCAACAGCAGTTCTAAAGAGTGTGTGCAACTATAGTAGGTAAATTTTCTTCTGATAAATATAATTGTTTCGGTATGAGAATCGATAGCTAAATAAAGGGGAAAAAAACTAATTCCAGACTGAAAAGTCCAGTCACAAGATAGACAATTTATGGTCCATGCATCAAACTATGGTCTGCTGTGCCTATGTGCTGCCTAAGAATAAGCAGAGAGCCACAACCATCACAGTGCAGGCATAGCTGCGCTGAGTCTGATTTACAATGCACTATGGCGCTGATTACTCCCCAAAATTGACATGCTTGCCTTCCCTAGCCTGACTACTGTTCCTCCTTAACAGTCATAACTGACTCGATTTGTTTTTGTTTTATTCTTGGCTTCATTACTCCTGCATCATTTGAATCCAACCATGGGAAGAAATCAATGTAAGACTCCAAGTTATTAACGAAATAACAATAATAACTCAAAAGACTAATTATAAACTTTTTTCTTTTGATAACCGAGAATCCTTCAAACTATGTGTACTCTAGACTAATAGTTGTGATAAAAAACTTTTGCATCTCTCAAAGCAAACTGTAAGCATCTCTTATGAGAATTAAACTTGAAAGTTGAGATTGTAAGATGATTAAAAAAATCACCAGCATTTGATACAACAGCCGAATACCCGACATGTTGAAGTAAAATAACTGACAGAATTAGGAAGGGGACCATGAACAGAAGCAAAATTGAAGCTGGCAGCTAATGAATTTGTACTCATTGCTCCTCGGGCTGGTCCAAATCTGTCTACTAAATTGCCAGAGCTAAATGGTTTTACACATCATCAGCCTTACTTTCCACCTAAAGGACCTCAACCCCCATTCACATCCACTTCGTTACAATTTCATTCCCTTGTAGGTGAAGGGTCCACCTATAAATAGTGTGTCTCACTTAAATCCATGGTCGTCATTGAATAAAAAGTAACGGGATGGATCTCAAATTCTCAATAGTCTCAATGCAGACACCTTAGCTTGGTCATGCACTGCAGATGGACCACCTAAACAAGGCCTGCCGCTCTCTGCCCACTATATAAGGAATGGCGGAACCACACAATGACTAGGGTGGGCACATGCCCTCCCTCAAATTTCTTTTTCTTCTTAACATCAGTTGTGTATGCTGTACATGTTTTTAACATATTTCACTATACCCACCCCTATTATTTCTTATATATTAATTAGAATAAACTCATATATATTAGGATTAATTGCACCAGAGGTACTCAAAATATAGGATATGTCTTATTTTGGTCCTCAATATTTCAATTGTATCATTTTAGCTCCTGAAGTATTGAATATTCTAGGGGTAACCCATGTCTGAAGGTACGGTGTAATGTGAATGGTTTTAAGAAAAATGTTGGTAACTATTGGATGATTTTATTTGATACCGTCGGATAGGCTTATTGAAGTTTACCCTATTTTATATTATAAATATAAATTATAGATTTCTACGTGATCCCTCAAGCGGACAGCGTTTAGATTGTTAACGATTTTTTTATTATAAACTAGTCAAATAATATCCAAATTTGGACAAAAAAATAATTTGATAAATCATTAACCAAATTTTTATCTAAATTTTAGTTAAAGAACTACCCAAATTATATTATTTTGATCATGAGTTATCTAAATTTTATTCAAGAGCTACTCATATTACATAATTTTGGCCAAAAGTTATCCAAATTTTGGTCAAGACTTATCCAAATTATTTTTTGTTCATATTTAAGTATCACGTAACAAGTTTTTGATCAAAAATCATTAGCAATTTGGATGTTATATACTTGAAGGACCACATAGAAACATATTTAGTACTTCAGTGAACAAAATAATTTAATTAAAATATTGAGGATTAAAATTAGAAATTTTGTACTTTAGAGACCTCCTATATATTAATTAGCATAAACTCACATCAAAATGACTACTAGTTTTGGGACACACATCAGACATTTTCAAATAAGTTTTGGGTATATTGGGGCCATTTTATAATTTTTGAAAAAATTCGTGCTGGGCCATTTTGTAAGTACTTAAAAAAAAAAAGGTCATCATAAAATTATAGACTCACTTTTGAGTAAAGAAAATTCAAACATAAATATATATCCAACGATATTATTATTATCAGGCTAAAACGAGTGACCAACTAAGGGAGAGATAAAGGTGAGCGAGGAGAAGCAGTGAATGTTGACTACACAACTTTTTGCAATGTGACCCTCCGGCAATTATAATTTAAATAAAAATATATGTATCATCTTATTTTTATTTATTGAGATTTAAAAAAATAAAATTTGTTAAAGTGTTCACTCTATAATGATTTCCTCGCTCTGCGAGGATAGTCTCAGTTTTTTTTTTTTATATTTCAGTTGTCTCAATAGATTACCGTAATATTTTCTTGCTTACGTATCGAATTAATGTTAAACTTTGTGTAAAATCGTCTTTAGACACAAAGGATAAATCTATAAGCGGTGGCCTAAGAGGACTTCGCTTCGTGGAATATTTGAAATCCTGATTAAACTTTCTACAGTGTTTTCATCAAAGTTTTTCCACTGTGGTGGGATCCAATTGGTTTGGAGCCCATAACTAAATTGTTATCTGATCCCTTTACATAAACCAATAATCACCCCAATTATGATTACACCAAAAGCATGAACAATCATGACCCACACCATAATCACCACAAGCAGTGAATATATTTCCATCATAGATATGTATGCCACAAAATCAGGAGGAGAACAACGGTATCAATTTTTATTTTTGTTGCAGGGGCAAAAGAGAACGCTCAAAGATTATCCGAAAAGGTTCTTATTGATGGAATCATGAGATCATTGATCACACTCATTACTTATCTCAGAAACAAACTTAGTCATCACTGATGGGATCATGAGGTCCCAATGTGGACTCTAAGACTCGAACCTTCAATTTTAAGGTGAGAAATTTGGTCGGTACTCCATTGAACACCCCATTCGATGGTAAAAAAAATTATTTTTTGATATTATACCAAAATTACGTTGAAAACGAGGAGTACGGTTATTTTAAAATCAATCCTAACTATTTTTTTTAGTCCTAGTTTGATTACATTTAGTCAAAACTAAACCCAAAGAGTCAACTATCTTTGTTCGGGAACGTGTCTTTAAATTAGTTTGAATTACGGTAGCCGACTCAGTTGGAAAGAGTAGTTAGCACAAGTCTAAATACACTCTGTAACAAAAAAAAAAAAATCTAAAACAAAAATCGTAATTTGAAATAAAAAATTATAATTTTTGATATAAAATATCTTTTGATACCGCAATGGTACTGCCCAAACCTACTTGCACTATGTGATTCGACTCCGTGTAAGGCATGAGATGGAATGCTCATCAATCCTTGTGTCATCCGAATGTTCTAACAGTGGCATACATATCCCCAATGATTCTTGGTGGCCAACAAATCAAATATTTTAACAAAAACTTTTACGTGTGACGCATTTGACGCATTGCTGGGAATTAGTTTTAGGGGAGTGCTATACATTTGGGAATTATTTTAGAAAAAACGAATTACTACTACTTTTGAGCAAAAACTCACATTGCCAAACTCGAAATTTGAACTCCTTAAATTAATTTACAAGTAAGTTCAAAATAATTCTAATTTTATAAGGGGAACCCCTGCTTGAAGCATTGATTTTGCAAGTTGGTCCTCTAAACATACACATCTTGTTTTCTTCCCTTAATAGTTAATACTCCTTCCCTCTCCCTCCCTCCCTTCCTCTCTCTGTGTGTTCCTGCGCCAGATCCAGTGAGAGTGGTCACCCTTTGGAGCGAACCTATCAAAAAGGATTAGCATTTCACGACTCAAACCCTTAATTCCGAAGGTAAGATCTGTAACTTTTTCTGGATCGTTTTTGTTTGTTCTTATGAATGTATACGTTTTAGAATGTTGGGTTTGTTTCCTTTGTTTAGTTTTGCAATTGGGTATGTGTAGCCCCCTGTTCTTGATTGTTCTCTGCTTTTCTCATATACACACACACGCGAATGTACGGATATATATATATATATATATTGTTGTGAGGCAGTGTTTTTGTGTGACTTTCAATTGGGTTTAAAAGGGGATGCTTTGACTACACAATCGGTTTGGATTTGTTTGGCAATAAGTATAGCGAACAATTAGGATACCGTTTCAGATACACATTAGCCATGGGAGGGGTTGATTAAGCCAAAAAGATGATATTTTAATTTTTAGCCTAGAAATTAAGATCATACATTGCATGATTGATGGGAGAGAATAGAAGGTTATGGATCAATACTTTTTAGGCTATAAAATGATTTTCGGTTCGTAAACATCATGTGATTTTTTCATTATTTTTCCTTGTTGCAGGGTTAATTGGCTTAGCAGCTTAAAAACTTTTTAATCTGCATTTGGTCGTCTATGTTTGGAGGTGTTGTGACTGTTCCTAGCAACAGTCCACATCTGCGGAAATCTGGGAGCAGACCTGTCGTCTCTGATCTTGGTAAGGGAATTATTTTTGATTTCCAAGTGTTTACTTGGATATTCTTTCCCTTTGTTAGTACACCTTGTACATGATTGGTGTAATTTTTCTATCAGATACAAGTGACCTGGGAAGTAGTGTCGAAGAAAATTTTTTGCATTCAATAGAGTCAAATGAAATGAAGGGTATAAGCACGCCATTGAGCAGTGCTGCGATAATGCCATCTCCAATTCTTCTTTGGAGATTTAAGGTATTTTTCTAAGTAATTTTGTGGGGTTTTTGTTGAATATCCTTTTAGACTTTAGGGTAATTTTTTTTGATGGAAATCAGTGCTACATCCAATGACTGAATAGTTTTGATTGACTAAACCAGTTTTTGAGGTACATTTATGTTTTTTGTCCCATTAGCTTGCTTTCTTTTCAGTTGAGAGCGTGACAACTTTTAGCTGCTAGGTTCCTCCAGTTTTTGAATGCTTTAACTCTTAAATGTGTTGCTTCTTTTCTGATATTGCAGTTAATTCTGCTAATAGTTGTGTGTGTGTTTGTAGCACAATTTTAGGACTTGCCCATTTGGCTATTGGTGTTCCTCCAGGCCCGGTGGCCTTGAAAAACCTAAAAAAAAAAAGAAGAAATAAAAGGCAAGATTCTTCTTCAGCCCTTGCAAATTTGTCTCATCATATTTTTTGATTAAATGAAGCATCACTCTTACCAAAGGTGTACCCAGTTTGCCATCATTTAACAGTAGCTGCAAAGTATGGTTCATAATCTATATTGCAATGTTTATGTAGAGGATTTTGGTTTAAGTTTTTTTTGTGAATTGAAGATATCTTCCTGCCATTTGGTCACCTTTTTTCATCCTTAACTTTTTTGGCTGCATTTAATGCAGTTCTCTTTACTTTTTATATCTCGTAATAGAGTTTTCAGTTTATTTAGATTAAAAAGGGTCATATGTTTTCAAAGGGATGCTTATATTAGATCTAAATGATCCTTGGAGATGTTAATGTTTTTGGGATAAGTCATTATTTTGTGCAGTTCTGAATCCTTCTGTTGATTGTGTTTCTATGTTGACCTGGCATTTTGTTTTGGTCGTTTGTTATGTGTGTTTAATTATGGTTTCAACTTGCATCAAATCTGAAATTGTTTTTTTCATGAGGTTGGCATATTCTTGCAGAGTTTAATTTAGATTTATGTCCAGGTACTATTGTTTTTCATCTGGGGTTTTAGTTGTTGCAAGGTGAGCTGTTTTTATATTTTGTTCAACTATTTTTAATTTAAATTGTAAGTTTTGATAAGGATGATGATAGCAGTTTAGGAAGCTGTTGTGGTTTCTCTTGGTTTAATGTTATGTGTGTGCACATATGTGATATTCACAGATTGGATGGGACTCCGTGATGAGAATGAGTGTGGACAAGCGAGATCTATTTCTATATGAGGCTTTTTTGTATTATAATCCTCTTCTTCTTGTGGTTAGTGAAGTTCCTTTTGTTTCTTCTTTTTTTATTTAAATCAAATCTCGAAGTGCATTTTGTCCAACTAATGATTTTTTATTTATTGTATTGGGCTTAGGCCATTTACTTATTTTCCTAAACTACTATTAATTCACTTTGTTTTGGTTTTGAGGTTGCAGACTTTGATGGTTTGGCTTTGGGGTGTAAATTTATGGGTCTTTGCCCAGGGTAACATCAATTATGCAAAAATTTTTGACCTTGATCAAAATCATCTTATCTGCAGAGAAATATGGAAGGTACATTTGAAGCTAGGCATTGAACATGCCCCTTAGAAATCAGACTTTAAATGTTAATTGTGATGTTGCTGCTGCCCAAGTCAATTGTAACCATGCTATTTTTGGTTACCAGATGACTTTTTTTTCTTCTAGTATAGGGAAATTACATGTTTTCATGCTTACCATTCCAAGCTTTGCTGTATTTTACTATGGAATTTGTCCAAGCTGCAGTTTTCTACATCATTTTTGACCAATTTTACACACTATTTTTCCTGGCAACATCTTGATTTTTCGTTTGACTGATCTTGCATATTTGTTGCATGGAAGCTCGTTTGTTTAGCCTTGAATTTCTACATGTTCTTAATGTCTTAGGTTTGTGCATATTTCTTCGTTTGGGAAATTGGAAAGCTTCCATAGGATAATAGTTCTCACACATCTGTTTGCATTCTAATATATGAGCGTCTTCTTGCTGTCAATCAATTTCTATCAGTTATCTAATGCCATGATGACTTTGCTTTTATCAAATTAGTTTCAATTTTCTTTTTGCCTTTTTTGTTGTTTATAACAGAAAAGAAAAGTAGGGATATAGTTAGAATAACTCTTTCATAATCTAGTACCCTGGGGTGGGGGTTTGATTTGGGACGTGGGTTCTCAAGTGCTAGTTGCTAGCCCCTAGGGAACATGTTATAAACTTGAGCTTAGCCATGTGAATTAGGAGAAAATATTCAATGTAACGGTGACACCACGTCATCATTGCCAAGTGGTGTCACCGACCAATTACGGATAAACATGTAGGACTAGCGAATCCCACCAAATTCTATAACTACCGATAACTTCCACATTCAATAACTACCAAGGGTGACACCACGTCGTAAAATGCTCCATGCTTGTAAAGAAAGAATGGAAAGAGAATTCAGCCGCACAAGCTAGAAGAGATACAGGTGGTGGAGAATACTAAATGAACCTGTTTATGATGGTTGATGCTGTCAATGGGATGTTATTTTTCGGCTACATGGAATTTCTATTTTCTTTTGATTTTGTCTCCGGGGGGGGGGGGGGATTTGCAATTTGGGGTTGATCATAGGAAATTAGGAGTGCAATTATTATATTCTGTTGAACCTTTTTTTTCCCTCCCTGCTTATGACAAACTTCTTATTTCTGCTACTTGTCCACCCAGAGATCAAGTTGCCTCGGGGAAATTAAAATTTTTGTTTTCTCAAATTGATATGTTCTAACTTTTTATTAAAATTTTCTTTGATTAAGGTACACATGTTGCCGAAATTACTCAGTTTTTGTTTGTTATTGCAGTGTGCCACCTGGATGACAATCGTTGTTCCAACTAGCATGACAGCCTATCTTTATCTTTATTCTCACGGAGAAGTTTCATTGGCTGCTTCCCAACCAGTGTAATAGATGCCCCCTCTTCCATTAACTGATGTCAGAATGCATTAGTGTACTAAGTATATTGTTTGAGTTTACCATTTTTTTCCTTTCACTCTTAATTTTTTTAAAAATCTGTTACTATACACACAAAGCAGCCACTGTGTGCTTGACCTCTTTTTATTGTGTGTATAGTTTCTTTTGAGACAAGCAATTAACTAAAGGCACCAAAGCGGAATGTACACGCAAAGAAGAGACTGAAACTTCCTAGCCACGACCCTTTACAACAGATGATACGCCATCTTCCTGTTTTTTGCCCATGCGAAACAAGTTGGGGAGAAATTGGCCTCAATTTGCCAGATTGTCAACTGTTACAATCTTGCTTTGCGCTGAAGTTTACCCCGAGAAAGTCGTGTAGGCACCTTTGTATGCCAAACTTCATTCCAGGGGAAATGAGGGTGCTCCCACCCCTCACAGAGTCCACTCCTTGATATCCACCTCCAAAAGTCCACTCTGCCTTTTGTGATTGAAATTTCATACTGTAATCCGAAAAAGGAATTCACAAACTCTGGCTCTTAGCCTTGAACTTTTCTGCTTAATGGGGGATCCTTTTTTTTTTTTTTGAGCAAGCTTAATGGAGGATCCTGAATTGACTCCATTTTCTGATGCACTTGGGTCGAGTACAACATGAGTAATGTTTGCTGGAGGGTTGGTATCAAAAGACAATGTATTTCACAAATGTCGCTCCTCTTATGAAGTGTCAGTGTTGCATTGCTTTGTTTGAAATATGAAGGATTCTTGGGGTTGACTATGACAAACAGATTGAAGATGCATATGAAAATTCTGGATGTGTATACGTACACTCACAGAGCTATCTGTATACTATACATACACACACACACACACATATGTGTGTGTGTTTTAGAGAGAGAGATCTAATCAGCTTTTCCTGACATTCTAAAAGCTTTTTTTGGACCAAAAACTGTTGTTCTGTTTGTAGGAACACCAGTTGTTTTTGAATCAATAACATCACTTTTTAAGGGATAGCAAGGCTATGCTGATCCAAAGATAGTGTTTCAGTTATTATGATTATATTTATAACGTAAGCAGTGATAGAGTGTTTGTGATGCTTATTGCTAATTGGACACATTTGAGACTATCATGCGGATTGGAGCTGTTTGGGGTATTTTTCTCATGTATTGCCCTTTTGATGGTGAACATGCACACTGACAACTCTATGATTTTTGGATTCCACGGGTAGAATGTCAGATTTGTAATAATTTTTATGTACAATCGTGCTGCAGGTGCTTTTATATGCTGCTGTTGCAATGGTTCTGATATTCCCCTTTGATATTTTCTATTTGTCATCTCGCTTCTTTTTGTTGAGGACTCTTTGGCGGATTGTATTCCCATTACAGGCAAGTTTATAGTGTCAGTACTGTTCAATTTTGAGCATTCTACTAATGTAGGTACTTTGTATTTTTTCTTTCACCTTAATTTTTATATAATGTCTATACATGATGAAAATTTAGAAAATAAAAATGAATTAGATCTGTTTCCTTTCTATATAATAAGTAGTTTTTTAAATTCTTTTTGCAAGTCTGTGGCGGTCATTGAGAGTTAAAATAGTAGTCATGATACTTCATCCATTGTCCCAATTCCCAAAGAATTCGTTTAGGTTTGCTTTGCCATAGCCGGCAGAAACTTGGACGGGAAGATTTTGGGACTTGTGCGTATGTCAACTCAACTAAGTCATTTATAAAATGCTTACTTTCAATTCTAATGCTTGATTCTCTCAAGTCTGCACAACCTCTCGAAAAAAGTAAAAAAATAAACAAAAAGGGACACAGTAAAAGACCTTCATGCAAGTTGTTATTTATCAACTGCCATTACAGCACCTGAGTTGTTTATTCTTCTTGATAATCCCATAAGTGTACCATATTCCCAGCACATAATTTCACTCTGCAAAATAGGGTGCTTCATATTGATTGTTGTAAAAGATCTTGGTGGGAGTTGATCACGCAAACATGCAATTTCTGAGCTCCCAATCCCATGGACTCTGTTGGGACTTGGGTGTAGAAAAATGTGTTCTTTTTACTATCCACGATGTGAATTTGTTAGTGCTGTTATAGAAGTTTTTCATGTCTTATCTAACTTTATGTTTACATGGTGAATACAGGCAATTACATTTGCCGACTTTTTCTTGGCTGATATATTAACCTCTATGTCAAAGGTATGCATACCATTGTGTGATGTAGAACATTGTATATATCCTATCTGTGATGGTTTAATTTTTGTGCGTCGTCCCATGGTTGTAAGGATAGATGATGATATTCAGCTTGCTTTTAACGTGTTATTGCAATTCAAATGGTAAATAATAATGCTATGGGTTGTAAAACTTTTTCTACTGAATAATGTATTTAAAAAGAAAAAAAAGATCGCACATACACCAACTGAAGTCTGGAGACTACAAAACATGCTAGTTGATGATTTCTATGGTTCAATAATCATGGTTCTTGTGGGTCTTAACAGAAAATATGCCTTCAGTTTCGATACTCCAAGGGCTGCGTAGTATCCTTTTCTGGATGAAGGTATTAGTGTGTTAGAGCACTTGTAGTAAATCAGTGATAGCTATGATGGTTATGAATGCCTTTCAGATTCATCTATTGTTGTTTGTGTGCTGAATCTTCTAGGACATCATTATGTAGTCACATCTGTTTAATGTGTCCAAATGCGGCTTCACAAAAACTCTCGAGAGAAATTCAAACTCTTTGCTGATGTGGCATGATGTTAAATCCCAGTTGGATAAGTGGATTTACAGCAATCAGTATTTTCTGACATTGGCCAAATTCACCGGTAAATGTGCGTGGAATATTCATTGCGTTCTGGATTTGGGGCCACCATCACACTATGATAACATACACATTTTTTTTTTAATAAAGTGGCTACTGGAAGAAGAAAAAAGAATATTATAAGCAAACTTGAAATTGGCAATGGTGTGATAATTGAGCATGAATGGAGAATTAAGGAGGAAATCATGAAATACTTTAAAGATCTTTATTTAACTCAAGAGGGGTTCACGCCGAAGTTGTTAGGATTGGAGTGGAGTCCTATTGGGGTTGGTAAATCTAGGTGGTTGAAGAGACCTTTTGAGCACAAAGTGCAAGATGCAGTTTTTTAGTGTTCTAGATATAAGTCCCTTGGGCCGGATGGTTTTTCCATTGGCTTGTTCCAAGATTGTTAGGAGGTGGTCAAAGATGACTTAGTGAAGGTGCTTAGGGATTTTTATAATAATGGAGTGGTGAATGTGAACACAAATGCAACTTTTGTTTACTTGATTTCTTAAAGACATAATTGAGTAAAAATTGGGGATTTTAGACTGATAAGCTTAGTTACTAGTTTGTATAAGGTCTTGTCAACGGTGTTGTCAATAAGATTGAGGGTGGTTTTAAGGGGATACAATATCAAAAAATTAGAGTGTTTTTGTTATGGGGAGACAAATATTGGATAATGTCTTAGTGGCAAATGAAGTGGTAGAAGAGTATAGAACGAAAGGTAAGGAATGAGAATTTTTTAAGATTGACTTTTAAAAGGCATATGATCATGTGGACGGGGAATTCTTGGATTTTGTGTTTAAAGCTAAAGGTTTCGTGAGTAGATGGGTTAGGGTTGCTTATCCTTTATAAATTTTTCGGTGGTGGTTAATGGTAAGCCACAAAGAAGATTTAATGCCTCTAGGGGCTGGAGGCTGGGATATCCTCTTTCATCATTTTTTTTTTAATGTTAGTGGTTGATTGTTTAAATCGTTTGGTGAATAGAGAAATGGAGTATAGTTTTTTTTTTTTTGAATGGGGGAGTATAGTTTAGTGGAAGGCTTTTTTAGCGGGGGAGGATAGGATTATTGTTTTTCATCTATAGTTTGCAGATGACACCATTTTTTTATTGTTAGTCGATGAGTAAAAATTCAAAAAATTTGTTAACATCGTTAGGAATTTTTGTTTGATTTTGGTGTTGAAAGTGATGATGGTAAAGAGTTCAATTGTGGTATTAATACTCCTAGGGGTAAGATCAAAGTTTGATTAGAGGATTAGAATGTGAAGTAAGTGACTGGCCTTTAAAATATGTGGGCATACCCGTGAGAAGTAATCCTTTTTTTTTTTTTTCGATAAGAGGTAATCCTATTGAGAGGTAATTCTTTAACCCTTATTTTTTGGAGTCCTGTTGTAGAGAGCATTGTTGTTAGTAGCGTACGATACGCGATACGTATTGTACGATACGTTACAATGCGGAAGTTGTCCGATACGAATTGGAGTTTTGTATCATTTTTGGATTGTATCTTTCAATATACGATACATTTTTACGATACGATACGTATCGGTCGATACAAACGATTGGCGAAGGCTTTGTTTAATTTTTTTTTTTTAATAAAATACATAGTTGAGCCTCAGAGAATAGAGAAAATGCCAAAGAAAAGGCAACAAAGTTGAAGACAAACCCACAAATCAGCAAACCACAAACCAGTCCACCAAACCCACAAATCAACAAAATCACCCAAGCAAAAACAAATCAAATAAATTTTTGAAATTGAAAAAAATAGTAACATTAACTTGTAAATTTCGGATGAAACCCTAGGTCTCACGATCTCTCTCTGTGTCTCACGATCTTTCTTCATCGCTATGAGTTGCGACTACGAGGTACCAGCCACCAGGTATGTTCTTCTTCTTCTTCTCTCTCTCTTCAGCACCGGCATCGCCCATCGCCTCTTACCTCTCGCCTCTTCTCTCTCTCTGTGTTCGGTCGTGGGTCACGAGACTCGCGATTGTGTTTTTTTTGTTATAAGAATGAAGAATTATATTTATTACCCCACTATATTATAACTTTTTACTTTTTAAGTATACATAAGTACCATGAATTTAATTTGATACCCTTTATTATTTTTTTAATATTAGTAAATTATATTGGTGACTTGAGTAGTAGGTGAAATATTAATAAAATGTTATATTTTTATGAGTCTATGATTTTTTAAAAGCATATATAATTTATTATTAATTATTTAAAATTGCACTGTATCTTACAATACACGATACGATACGATACACTATTTTTAAAAAAGACACATCTTCCGATACATGATTTGATTACTATGATGGAGATTTTGAGGAAAATGTTAGATGAATGGAAGAATGGTTGTTTGTTTAGAGGAGGGAGACTTACCTTAATCTAAACGGTTTTGGGTATCATACGTAGGTGTTAGGAGACACATACTGTGGATCTTCCCTCATGATGAAACATGCGGGATACTAGACACTACCTAGAGAAGGGGTGGTGGTGGTGGTGGTGAATAGGTTAATTGAAATTTCGCTTGGACAACCATCAATTTTTTACCCAAGTTTACTATAATTACCTCTTCACAAATTTATTTAGCGTGTGAGAACCCTTTTAAACAAGAATAACTCAATTAACCATGCAGATTGATGTGGTGGATTTATCGATTTTAATGTTCAACACTCAATCTCTCACGGTGATCCAATCCAAGGCAACAAGTTACCAACCAAACCACTATGTATGATAAAAATGATCAAATAATCATTTCAACAAACATGTAGTAATCGAGTGTGCTACAAGTCACAATTGTGTGCAAAACTACAAATATGTAATAAAAATACAAACGATTTGTTGACACGAAAACTATTTTTGGGAAAAACTGCGGGAAACCACTCGGGGTTTACTACAGCATAATCTATTATCCTAAAGTCAGTTTATAAGTACTTGAGATTTATACCTCAACCCATACCATGGTTAGACGCTCATTTCCTTCAATAAACCTCTCCGCTAAAACTCCCTTTTCAATGTTATAGACAAAGTCACTTGAACTCCTCGCCACGATTTTTTTAGGCCAAGATCAATCTTGTCCACCAAGATCCTCAGTATGCATACTCAACAAATGGATTTAGTAGAATCAAACAAGTTCTTCTTCTCCAAGGTGCAAGTTTGGATAAGAATCAGAAGATGGGTTTGCATTTGGATTTAGGGTTGCTCACAAGCTCTCCAGGTTTTAGATAAGCTAAGAAGAGGCTTACTAAAGGCTTGCCCTAACATAGGAAAAACACCCTCTATTTATAGGCTTGGAATAGGGTTTGTCTTGGGGTCCAAGATAACACAAATTCATGAACGACTGCTTGAGCAGTAGGAGACCGGCAAGAGGGCAGTGGCTGCTCGAATGAAAAAAGAATTCAAGCCATATCAGTAGAGCAGAGACCGCTTGAGCAACCGACCTCAGACCACTCTTGAGAGCAAGAGTAGTCTCCATTGTCCACTCGTTCAACTTTTCTCAAATTTTTTCCTTTTTTCGATGAGAAACAACTTTTTATTAATAAAAAATAAAATTTACAAAAAACTAGGCTCGCATCAAATTTGGACAAGCAATCCAAACAAAAGCAAGCCTATGTAACAAGTTTTCAGGTGGAAATTAAGAGTCCTCAGAGGAGTAGATGGATGGAGGTCTAAATGGAAGAGGTAGAGTCATTGCACAAGAACAATACAATCCACATGTTCCTTGGTTCTTTTCTTCCATGTTTGCTGTGGATTTTAAGCGCTTTGGAAACATAATAAAGGAGTCACACTATGGAACTGTGCAATGTTCTTTATTGTTTGGGTTTATTTGGTTGGCGGGAAATGCTCGAAGTTTTGAAGATAGAAGTGAGGTGGTTGATGTTTTATGGAATCACTTCTTTTTTTTTGGCTTCCTTTTGGACCTCAATGAGGAAAGATTGATGTTATTCCACTCTTTTGTATCTCATCTGGTTGGAGGGCTGTTTGTGATTTATAAACGGCCCAATTTTGGTAGCTTTTAGTAAAATTATGCTTTTCTATTGGATTGTAATTTGTGTTGTTAAGGTTGGATCTCTTGTCCAACTTTTTGCCTTATGTAATATTTTTGATAGATTTAATAAAATATTTATTACTTATCCACAAAAAAAAAAAAAAGAAAAAGAAAAAGGAAACACACTATGAACATCCCAATTAAACATGTCAGAAAATCAGTTCTCAACAAACTAGATATCCACTTGTGACTTCCAGCTTTGTTGTACTCACTATATCTCCATGGGATGTTCAGACATGGCCATCTTGATGGACAGACTTGCCTTTTTGTTTAAATTAGGCTCCACATTGGCCTTAGGTTGTTGAGATCCCACAGTGGTATTTAGGTCTCCCCCCCCCTTTCTCCCCACAAAAAAAAAACCAGGGTAATGTTTGGTAACCAGCTGTTTGTGTTTGTGTTTGTTTTTTTTTTTCATTTTTTGCTTAAAAAAAAACAATAACGTGTTTGAAAAGTGTTTTTATAACTCCCCAACACAAGAGAGAGTGTGTTGTCTTGGTTGCATAGAAGTCATGATTTTAGCAGCAGTTAAGCTTTATTTCTATTTGAGCTAATCATACTGTTAGGAAAATTGTGAATGACTTCTTCTTGTGCTTATCATTTTTAGTTTTATGCAGGTATTTTCTGATTTGGAGCGCTCGGTTTGTCGCATGGTTCATCGTCAGGTTAGCATTTCTTTGTTTGTATGAGTGTTTATATTGTTAGATTGATATCTCTTTTTTGATTCTAGCAGTCTAGCAGATCTAGCTGACCTATAATATTTGTTTGCCAATTCTTTAAGAATAATTAAAGAGGTATAATTATGTGCTTATCTGTGTTCTCCTTAATCGTAATCAGGTGATTGTTCCTGAAGATTAGCTATAAGTATTTACAGATATAGAGTGGAGGACATGTTTGGAAAACGTGTTGGTTTATCAACAAATTCTTGATGCAGTATAGGACTGGGTTCCGCATAGTTGGCTACTTAAGAGTGTCCGTCCATATTAGATAGGGCAGATGAGTAGTTGTTTGAAAGGTGGAAATTACTCCTGTGACTCTTTATTGACGCGCTGGAAGCTAAAGGACCCGAGAAACATGCTCAAAGATCCTTGTATCTATATGGAGTGCAGTGATGTATGCATTATGACGAGTTTTCGATATTACATGAGCTAAGTTCAGTTCAACAAAGCTCAGATATTTGAGTCTTACTTAACATAGTATTTCTTACTTCAAAACATGAGAATTCTGATTAGAATGTCGGTCTATTTATTTTCTGGTATTGGGAAAGATAAGATTTATGTGGTTCTTTCTGCTTTTAGGTTGTACCTAGGCCTCTTTACTATATGAGAAAGCATGAGAGATTGAATCTTTGCCGGGGATATTTTTTGGGGGGGGAGGGGGGGGGGATTGATATTCTCCTTTATCAGGCCACCTGGAGGACTGCTTTGCACCTTCTGGAATTTCTTCTTTTACTTCTTTTCAGTCTGATCTCGCAACTTATATGACCACTTTTTACTCTTTGTCCTGAATTTTTCCTCTGATATTTTTTGGTTGGGTTTCTCTTATTCTTTTGTGGCAAGATAATACGACTGCCTTCACATTCCTTGTTGAGGGACATTTTGTAACTATTTTTAGCAGTTGTATCCCTCGTAGTTGTAGGTGATTTGGGGGTGGTCGTTTCTTTATAGGTGATGTTATTTTCTTGTATAGCATTGTCCACCAATGAAATCCTTAAAGATATTCAAGGCATGCACTCTTTCTCCTTTTTTGATATGTTAGTCTGGTGGTTGCACATTTGGGATTCTGTTCATTAAATAGTTTGGTATGACTGATATTGTTAAAAATTCAGCTGCTTATTACCTTATTGTCTTAATGGAAACACACATAGAGGTTAAGATTAATGTTGAACCTTTTCAGTGGGGGTAATTTATCTACAGCTTCCCTTTTTAGGGCGGGTGCGGAGTCTGGAAAGGTTCACATGTATGCAGCCTTATGCCCGGTATGTGAAGTAGCTGTTTCTACGAGTCAAACCCTTGACTTCTAGGTCATAATGGAGCAACCTTATCACTGCACCAAGGTCCACTCTCTTATATGGAGCTTCTCTACATGATGAAATTAAATTGGCTGCAATCATTAGTCCTTTTCAGGATGCCTAGGCCAGTGAGCAGTAACAAACTTTCCAGCTGAAAATTGTCCATTTGTAACTCCAAGCACTCAAGTCATTGGCCTTAGTTAAAGCTTGATTTGCTAATGAAATCCGAATTTTATTTATTTTTTTAACTCTCAATACTGAGTTTCAAGAAATGCTCTTTATTGACATGTTTTCATGCAGGTTACTTGGTGCTTGGTTTATTATTATTATTATTATATCTTTTAAGCGAGAGTCCATGGACTTGTGCAGGTTGCCACTATTGCATGGTTTGAGGCTGATTCTGTTTGTGGCAGTCATGCTATTGCCATCCCTATTGTTCTTGTTTTGCCTTATATCTTTCGTCTCTTTCAATGTCTTCGGCAATACAAGGATACTGGGGAGAAAAATACGCTGCTGAATGGTAAAATCTTTTGGTCACTTCTATTTCTTGGACTGTTGTTGACAAGTTGATGATTCTCTTGGTGCGAGTTCTCTGGTGTTTGCTGTCCATTATCCTGATTGATTTGGTGCCAAGTTAGCATGTAGTTATTAGATGGGAACATGCCTCATGGCTATTAGGGAATGGTTGGTTGTAACGAAATTGTATTATTATAGATTTAATTAGTACCATGAGAAAACCTTATACCCTTTGTTGGTTTGGTGAAGTCACGAGTATCTGGGAGATTCCAAATTTACTTCTCTTTTCCTGTCTCCTGTATAACTAATTGGAGCATAAGTGAACCCTGCCTCCAGTGGATCATTTTCAGCTACTGAGATATAGATGATAATTTATTGTCTGGTGCTGTTTTACTTTTCTGGGTAGCATATCATGTAGTCAAATTGGACCCTATGTCAAGTAATGCTTGGTTTTAATTGAATTTTTTTTACTGCCATGAATATGGGATGCATTTCAAAATGGGACTAAGCAGAGGATGGTGGCAATTATCCCCAAGTCACACCCCTTCCTTATTCAAGATTAATGGCCAATTTGCTAATTTCATTTTTGGATCAAATTATTAGATGTCCTCTTACTCTTTGTGATACTACAAATGTGAAAATCAATTTTACCCCGACCCTTCTCCTCTCCTTTCCCACCCCCCAAAAACCACCCCAACAAACAGTAAACAATATAGAAGATAGCTAAAAGAGTATCACTATGCTGGTATTCTAGAAAAGATCAATGAAAAAATAAAGTCGTATATTGGAAAAACTTGTGGCAATTACAGCATGCCGGATTGTTATGATTTGCGATGGAGCCGTAGCACTGTTGTTTAAGGTTTTGATTCAATTACACGAACTTGTGCTTTATCTGCTTCTCTCTGTGACGTAAGGGGTTTCAGTGCTAATGTTCATAGATGACTGAGATGCTGGAATGATGTGCACATATTAGTTGCTGATAATATCACTGGTTTTATCATCTGGAAAAGAATATATTAAGGCTATCTAATCTGTAGAACTATGCTAATCAATGCTAATTTTCTCTCTGCATTTTGTTGTATTTTTCTTTCTTTCTGCCCTTTTTTCTTTGAAATCTAATTCTATAGTAAAATAGTACCCTATAGTCCTATACTAACAGGATTTGTTTTGCTATTCTTGCTTCACAGTTGAAGAATTTCAATTAGTCTCCTCCATCTTATCTATAGTGAGTGAATTGCTAATGGATAAACGTATCTTGATTGTTATAATTACCAAACTATTTGTTCATATTAAGGTCATTTCTTGTATAAGGTTCTCTATTCTATATGTACATGGTCCCTGAATTCTAACTTCTATCTTTCCCTCCACCTCTGTTTCCCGTGAGTATTAAATTTAGAAGGCTTTGTTTACTTAATGGTTCTGCACTTTCTTGACTCTTAAGTTATTTATGGTTTCAGCTTTAAAATATTCGACTGCAGTACCGGTGATTTTTCTTTCAGCCCTTAAGTATCATGTCTTCCCTGATAAGTGGACCAACATGTATCGTCCTCTATGGCTTCTGTCAAGTGTTCTGAACTCTTTATACTCATTCTACTGGGACGTGACCCGGGATTGGGACTTGAGGTATGTAGGGATGTCTTTCTGGTGATTTCTAAATGTGATGTCCATGTGGAAATTGTTGTTGTAGTGCCGTCCTAATTCTTGAGGCTCCTCTGCCTCCTTCACTTAGAACACTACTGTGATTAAAATAATGACACCTGGGTCGTGGGTCACTGTGAAACGTTGTACGGGTACAGGTACTCAGTGCGGTAGGTACATTGTTTTGGGTCGTGGTTCACTACCTATGGGATCACATTCTTTATTATATGAGATTATATATAATTATACATTCATTTGCACATAGTGAATTAATATTTATTTTGGGGTTTGAGTTACAATTTGGGGTCAGGAATTTAAGCAATCTGGATCGTGAGTCCACCCCATTTCGGCCGTGCGACCCCTGGTTCGTGGGATGGTAGTGGTACCTACAATCCTGGTATCATATTTATTTTAATCCTGTCTGCATGTTTTTCCTGCTGATGCCTTTTATTGAGATCCAATTAGATGGTTGCTCCCAGGATCCTTTGTGCTTGTGTTCATAAACTCCCACTCTTGCATGTACTAGCAAGCCTTAACAGTGCATGCATGTATATGGGTATAGTTGCAGTTGATATTATATGCAATTTATTGACATTATATGCAAATCATACTCATAATATAAATGACGAACATCATCTATTGATGTTTTTCTAACTTAAAATGCTTGCAAGGTACCCCGCTTTGATATTTTTATTGTATGCAACCCATATCTAGCATTGAGATAATATTGTCAATCACTTCTTGTAGCTTAATTATTTGCTTCTTTTCTGCCAGCGGCTTCACCCGGATTTTCAAGTTCAGCAAACCCCATCTCTTCTCTCACATGTTATATGGAAGGAAATGGGTAAGAAAGTGAATATCCCTTTTTTTAACCTTTTTTCCCTGCAAAACCTGGGAAAAAAATAAATAAATTAATAAAGGTGCTTTGCATCACCTATAGGATTTGTATTGATTTCTAATTCAGTCATTAACTGGACCCCTGGCCTTGTTTATTCACCATTGAAGTGAACTGGTGCAGAGTGGTTTAGTAGACAACCCTGTATGCCATTTGTCAACCTAATTTCTGCATCAGCTTTGTAATCCTCTTTGACTTCGATTGAACTTGGGTCATGTGACCAAATTTTATCTGGAATAACCCCCTGGATTGAGTGGCGTAAATTCCTGAGTTATACATCAAGTCATCAACCTACTCAGTCATTACAAAATTGATCTGTGGTATCCAGGAAATAAATTGCTGTGCTTGGAATTCTGCAGGTTTATTTTTGGGTAATAGGAAGCAATCTGATCCTGAGGTGCACATGGACATACAAGCTGTCGGCCCATCTCCGCCATAATTACATTACTCTCTTTACAATTACTGCTTTGGAAATATTCCGCCGCTTCCAATGGGTGTTCTTCCGTGTAGAGAATGAGTGGAACAAAATGAACTCCAAGCCGAACATTCAGCTGGGTGACATCTCAAATGATGAAGAAAAATTACTCAACTCCAATGATCACAATATATAGACCACAACAGAGTAGCTTTCGTTGTAAGCAGCACTGCTCGAGTTTTATTACTAACACGCTCCATATGCTTAATGAATGGGTTTGTCCATTCCATTTTTATCCTCAAAATTCATAGCTTACATTGATATTTCTTCTTGATTATAGAAAATTTGGTCATTGATATGCTTACAACATCCATAGATATGCCATTAAAAATTCAAGAGCTCTCTCTCTCTGTGGATGTGTTTTCTGTGTATTGATGTGTGTGAATGGAAAATGTGTCCGACTTAGGTGAGTCAAGTCAACACAAACCAATACAACCCAAAGAAATTCACCCATCTATTGGTCCAGAGTCAAATGACCGAGTTGAGATAGCTACAGTTAGCAGTGTGTAGTGAGGATGACAGGGGTGATGAGGTCTATAGTTCCAACGTTCTATGGTTTTAGAAGGAACTTTACCTGCCTTCAAATCCTCTCTGCAGAACTTGATCGGGTGAAGTTTGCTGCTACACGGTTGCATGAAGCGGCGGATTGCGCGATCATGACTCATGGAAACTCTAATCATCAGCAAGTTTCTGGATGTAGGGGTGATGAGGTCGGATCCTAATTGTACATTTTCAGTTGTGCAGTTGTGATGGGCGAACTATCCATCCTTATATGAATTTCACTCCATCACCTGCGAGAATGCGAGGCCTCATTAAGCGTTTGGGGTATCCTAAGTGTTACAGCCGGATCCTTATCGCAAGATTTTCTTTATGCGATTATGTTACGAACTTCAACCTAAGTGGAATCACTGTTTGTCAATTCGTGTAAGACCCTTTGAGCAGATATTGATGTTGTGTCTACATATTCATCAATTCCTGTAAGAAACCATGCCATAGTTTTTCTTTGCCAACACCAAGTTATATCAGGTAAAAGAAGGCCATGTAATGCTTTGACAGACCCGCTGCCTAGTATCTTGTCTGCAACACTCTTAAAGATGTGGCTGAGTATGTGTGCGTGTCGATGTGTGGAAAAATAGATTAAATAACCATGCTTAATTTATCTCATTGAATTTGCATGGAGTGGTTCAGTGGTCGAACAAAAGAGATGCCGAAAACCGCAGACCTTGAGTTCAAGTTCCATAAAACTCAAAATTTCACCAATGCGGGTGATTTGCGTAATTACATACATCGATGTCTTTGTTGCAACTATGATTCCAAATAAAAACATGGTTAAAACGATTCCCATCACCCAAAAAAGTAATTTATCTCATCTTATATACTTAATCTGAGTCTCTCCCCATCTTCCTTCTACTGGATTGATGTTCCTGTTAGAGAGTCCCTTGGAGCCAGAGGCTGTTCTGTTTTGCTCTGTTCCGAATGAATGGAAACTATTTGAAGTGTTAACTGATTTGCAATAGTAGTCTTTTTTTATCACAAGCAAACGATTCGAGCAGCTCGAGTCAATTGGGCTCATCCAGTCTTGTTTAAGTTGTTAAATGAACCAACTTTTATCAAGCGTATTTGATTCTGAGGCTCAGTCCAATAGTTTGTGTTGACATATATCTCTAATTTTATTTTTTAAAAAAGTCTTATCGATGAATAACTACAAACTTATCTTAAATAACTTTGAGAGTATAAACTTCTTGTTCCCTTTTCTCTTGGAGCTTTTCTAAAAATGTGAAGCACTAGTTTGAGTAGATGTTATGGTTGTAATGAATATTTTTGGAGAATTTAGAGTTGGTCATGGTATTTACAGTTCTGATTTTTTGTAAGAAATTGCGGTTTTCAGTATTAATACTCACAATAAGATAGGTAACCTCTTGGAAAGTGCTCGTGTTCCACCCTTTTTAGATACTTTTCCAAAAAAAAAAAACCTTTAATGCTCACATATTTGAATAAAACTTAACAAATTAAATTTGAGTTGAACTAGCTTAATCATGACCAAATAAGTAAGATGAATGATGAGCCAGACCCAAAACTTAACTCAGGTTTTGGCCCCAACTTAAATAAAAGACTCATCTAGAGGAAATCCAATGGGTCCAACTTAAAAGAGATTCATGCTTAGTCAGACTCATCATGAATCCAAGAGCCACGTCATCAAGGAATAGACATCGCCGTCCCAAGAATCTCATCCACATCATCTTAGAGTAAGGAGCAAAGAAGTCAACTATGCCATCTTAAGACCTAGTCTCGAGGAGAGCCCTGCAACAGTCTCATCCATTGTGAAGATGACGTCACCTTCACCAATTTAGCTTAATTAATGATAAGTTGTCTCAATCTATTAAGAAACGACTATAAAATATAAACTCCACCTACACATGGGGGCATCTCACACAAAGGGATCACATCTGATATCACTCTCATATCTTTCACATCTTGTACCTCAATTGAGCTCTCATTACTTTAATCTAATCTCCTAACACGTCTGCAACAATAAAACATTTAAACCATCCTAACTTTTCACAATAGAGTAGATCACATTTATTAAACCATTTAAATTGTATGTTGCTTGTATTGAACTTTCTTTCTCTATTTTATTATTTGCAATAATTACGTGACAGATAGTGTACAAAACTGATTTGTGCATCATCAATAATACACAAAACATTGCTAATGAAATGTAACAAGAGCCGGAGGCGCACGCACAGAGTCTGCAATGTCGGGATGTGTGTTTATATTGGAACACACATTTTATGGGTTGTATATTATTACTGAAAAGTGAGGGGTGTTCGTGTAATTAGCTAAGAGTTGTTTTTTGGTAGAACCTGCAATCATGACGGGGTTTGTGTAATTTAATCAGGACATACAATTCATACCCTTAAATTATGCACATAATTTTAATTTGATCTCTAAAGTTTTAACTAAAACAATTATATTCTTAAAATTTTAGCCAAGTTTTAATCCAATCACAAGACTTGCCCATATATTTGTCCAACAAAAAATATGTCTATCAAATACGTCGTCGTGTTTCTCACTTTATTTTATAATATCTCTCAAGTTTTTTCTTCATAGTTGTTATCTTCTTTTTTTTTTTCTCAAAATTAAATGAAATAAAATAAAGTTTTCTAGTCTAGAAGTAAAAAAATATTTGTCAAGATAAATATATATTTTTATCCAAGTCAAGTGTTGGACACGGATGGTCATTTCGTCACACTAAACTAGTGAATTTTGATATAAGAACTATATTAAAACTCAATTAAAATTCTAAGGATTTAATTGTTACAATTAGAACTTCAAGAACCAAAATAAGAATTTAGTGCATACTTTAAGGGTGCAAATTGTAATTTATCCTAAAGACTTCCATTAACCTTTTACACACTGTAAATCCCCCTCCCCCCTCTTCCTTCGCCGCCTATCTTTAAGGAAACTACATCGAAGTGTCTCTCTTTCTCTCTGTTCGTAGATCAACTTCGACGGCAAGATCTTACGACTCTTCGTTGGAGAGATGGAAGAGCTGAGAGCTTAGGTATTAGTGTACTTCGAGACCCGACACAGCGACGTATTCTTATTGTGATTCAGGCCATGGCTGATTTTTCGAAGCAAGATTTGGTACAGCTGATCAAGAGATTTGGGACCTATCTCACCGTCAAGATCTCCAATCTCGTCCACAATCCAGTTATAAATTCAATTTCTCATCTTTTTTAGTCTTGTTTTGCAATTTACCTTTTAAATTGTGTGTATGCTTATATGTATGTATGTATGTATGTATGTAGAGGTAATAGGTACTGTGTGCAGGTCTTGAAGAGTGTTTTCAGATGCTGCAATCGTATTTTTTTTTATAATTTTTGTCATGTATTTTGGGAATTGATAAATATAGTTTGCTCGATGATCTGTTGTGGTTTAGGACTCTATAGTAAGTTGGATGATGAATCAAATTTGGTGTTTTAGCTGTAATTGTAAAAAGCTGCTTTGCTGGACCGTAGGTAAATTTGTGACATTTAACGTACATGGAGCAAATATATGTTAGGGTTAGTTAATCTTGCACAAGTTCCCTCTGGGCCTGCCTAATGATGCTAACCACTTCTCATGTGAATTTCTTTGAACATCGGGGATATTTTTGGTATATTTTTGTAAATATTTTGGTAAATTTGTAAGGTATAGCAGGAAGAAGGTTGGTGCGGCACCTGCGGATGGATGCACTGTGACTTCCAAGCCTATCTAATATAAGAGGCTTAAAGCTGAAACTAAGGCTTAAGGTGTAAAGCGGGTGGTCAGTTTTGCACCATCCCTCTTCTCTAACTCGTGAGTCGTGATAACAAAGAAACTAAGTCGAATTCACATAAGACACATGCTACCCAACCCTGTTACTCTTAAAGCCTCACACTTCATTCTTAATACCTTCTAATCTTCTAAAAGTTAAAGAAATTTAGCAAGAACAGAGCCTAAATAGTACTTTCACCTTATGTGCTTAACTTAATAAGGTTCTATACCTCTTTCTTCATGTGCATCAAACTGACTGATTTAATCTCATCCTATTTGAGGGAACCAAGTGTTAAGTTGTTGCTCGAAGATTGAGAAGAGATGTTAATTTCCTTGATATCTTTTTTAGACAATTGGCACTGATATAAAAATTAATGTTACTGGGTTATTAGTTGTCATACACTTAGAGTGGGCGATAGACCTTGTTGATTGTCAGTTACTTCTATAAATACTAGTTGATATACATTTGTGTTGCACATGAACCTTTTTAAATTTGAAATATGGTATATTAAAGCTTTGGTCACCTTTTCCCAAAATCCTCAACTTTAAAAAACATTGATGTTCATTGCATATCTAATAAAATAATGAATTTTAAAACTTTTATATATGATAATTGTAAGCAATTTAAGTATTTGAAACCAAAAAATAAAAGTTGGTGCCACTCGTAAATCGAAACTGCAAAAAATATTAAATGCATGCAAAACATATTAACTGCTTTTGTAGGATGAATTGGGTCCCATAATCATCATTAAAGTTTTTTGAGCATTTCATACCATTTATCACGTATGGTTAGATATTATATAAAACATGCCTATATGCAACCATATCCACAATTAGTACATTCTTTTTTTTTGTCCATTTCAGTTGTGAACTCAGTATGGTAGAAATCATCTAATCATACAATTTACAACCAAAACAACAGCAAAACATTTAAAATGCATAACATTTCTTTCTTTTTCTTTTTTATCTATTTCAACAGAATCATCAGGATAGAAATCATCTAGTCATACAATAGACAACCATAACAACCATAGACATAGGCATCGTAAACATACATAAGCAACCCATTACAATATGTTTTACCAACAAAATAGCGCACAATAGTACTCACAACATAATACCAGTGACCTAGTTGCTACATCATCCTCTTTTACATTGAAATAAAATAATTAAAACCAACACAGTGGTGGCTTTAATCTTAAACAACAGCCTTAGAAGAAATAGTAAGCTCTTGGAAGTCATCGGTAGTGGGGGCGGTGCAGGCTTTTAGTTTGTCCTGTGCTTCCTCCCATTGGAATGGAATTGACTCCAAAATATGTAGTGCTGGTGTTAGCACAACTGGAGACACTTGTGGCTTGCTTGGAATTGAGAAAATGGTAGTTTAGGTGGTGAGAGCTAGGTTCATACTCTCTATATCTCAACATTTTCTTCTTATGCGGAATGAACGTGTTCTCCATATTTCTAGAAAGTATTTATAGGGATAGGGGATGGTGAAGGCGAAAGGACCAAAATAATTTTGGCATTCCTTCTTTACAAAAGAAGAACCTAGTTCATCATATACTATTTAATGTCAAAAAACCCTTGATCTAGATTTTTTTTTGTTTTTTGTTTTTTTTTTTTTGGGGGGGGGGACCACTTTAATATCTTGAAGAGAAACCATTGGAATAACATTGTTGAATAGAATTCTCAAACGGATGGAGCCTTAAAACATGAATAGAAAAAAAATCAATAGTTAAAGCTCAAATGAATATATAATGAATGTTGAGTTTGTGTATGAAATTAATTTAACAAGATGAAATGATATGAGAAGGTTATGTGAACAATTGGAGCCTTAAAACATGAATAGAAAAAAATCAATAGTTAAAGCTCAAATGAATATATAATGAATATTTAGTTTATGTATGGAATTACTTCAATAGTTAAAGCTCAAATGAATATATAATGTATGTTGAGTTTATGTATGGAATTAATTCAATAGTTAAAGCTCAAATGAATATATAATGAATGTTGAGTTTATGTATGAAATTAACTTAACAAGATGAAAGGATATGAGAAGGTTATGTGAACAATTTGAGCCTTAAAATATGAATAGAAAAAAATCAATAGTTAAATCTCATATGAATATATAATGAATGTTGAGTTTATGAATGAAATTAATTTAAGAAGATGAAAGGTATGAAAGGTTATGGGAACATTTTAAGAAGATAAAGTATATGAGAGAATTTATATAATTGTTTGAGGGTAATAATGGCCAAATTTTTTTTTTGAGTTTAGAAACTTTTAGGAGTAGTGTAGATATAGATACTAGTAATAGTAATGTGTGTGTATATATATATAGAGAGAGAGACACACACACACACACAAAATACATGAAACAATGGTTTGTGTGGAAATGGTCATTTGAATATTTAATTGGTATTGGATAATTAAATACATAATGATATTACTGTCTTTATTTTTTTTTTAGGGACATTGTAGTCAATCAAAAGTTTTTCACTTTTGTTGACATTTTATAATAGTATAGATATTGTTGACATTTTATAATAGTATAGATATGCTATCATGTGAAAGAAAGAAAAAAGAGAAAGATAGAAGAAACATAGTACATGTTTTGGGCACATTGTGATTTTCTCTTGTTCACGAATTAAGAGAAGGAAAGAAGTAGAGAAGAGAAGAGAGAAATGGTGCAAAAGCAACTTCCAAGCCTCTCTGACATAAGACACTTATGGATACAGTGAGAAAAAAAAAATGAGATGCATTAAATAAAGAAAGTGGTGGGGTTTGTGTGTGTGGGGAGAGAGAGGGGGGGGGGGGCAAAAGCTCTTTCCTAAGGTGTTATTCATTGATCTCGTGGGCTGATATATGTCTACATCCATAAGCATGTTTACAATTGCCGAAAATACATCATGATCAATGTCATTGGCAAAATATAGTATATATAACTACTAATATAAATAATTAACTTGAACTTATGCAATCCTACTCATATTCTTCATGGGCAATGCACAAGTTGGTTGCAACAATATCACATAGCTAATTTGAACTTATGCAATCCTTTGTGATATTCTTTATGGGCACTACACAAGTTGGTTGCAATACTAGTTTCCTATATAGTATGGACACTCTCAAAAAGGTGACGTATCTGTGTCGGACATCAACACTCTTTGGACATGCGTTCGATACTCTTTTATCTGTGCCCATAATTAAATAAAATTTTTTTAATTTTTGACACGGGTTTGACACTCCTTTATCTGTGTCCATAATTAAATTATAAAATTTTAATTTTAGACACGTGTTCGACACTTCTTTAGACTATGTCTACTACTAAACAATAAACATTTGATTAATAAAGCCTAAAAATTTGACTAATTAGTATTTTATATTATGAGAGAACATATAATTATCAAGACTATACATATTAAGGTTATCCTCAAAATATAATAATAAAAGTAAAAGATAAATAAAAAATTTAGAAAAGAGTAATTGAAAATGATAGCAATCATTTAAATTATATATGTTTGGTACATGTCTATGTGAAAATTGATGATTGTTGATTGTTATGATATTAGTCTAAAAATTCACACTAAATGACTAGATATAACATTTAGTTATCATAAAATAAATTTTTTATGAATAATATATCATTATTACTATATTTGTGATAAATTGTATAATTTTATATATAAAACACAATTATTTATGACGTGTTCCCAGTGTGTCCTAGTCTTGCTTTTTTTAGAAATGTCGTATCTTCGTGTTTGTGTCTTGTTGTATCACGTCCATGTCCGTGTTTGAGTTCGTGTTTCTTAATTAATTTTAGAGATACTCCCATAAGTCTGATCTGTTATTACTGTTCTCTTACTATTACTTTGATGCTTTAGTATACATATAATTAAAAAAAACAATGAACATTTTTCTATTATTTAAAAAGTATATAATTATAAATTTATAAACACTTAATTAATTAATATGAATTTTATTTTATGTTGCATGTTCCAAAAGCGAATTGATTTAGGATTAGTATTATAATTTGGGGTTATACATTTTTTGGCAATTTGGATCGCTAACCCACCCCGTTTGGGATCGATGTATTCAGATCGTGGGTCGTCAAAGATTTAGTAAATTTTGGTAACTATAGTCCAAACAACTTATCTTTTGTTTTTTATATCCGAAATAGAAAAATTGTTTACCAACTGCAAACCAAACAAGCCCTTAGGCTCCATTTGGAATGAGATTCTCATTCTTAAATCCTAGATTACCAAGTTTGGATAGACAATTATTCAATAATCTAACTCAGGAATAAAATTACTGTCGTAATCCAATTCCTAACAATAGTGGGTATCCGAAACCCATGATCAATGATAGTAATCTCATACTTAAATTGATTTGGTATTCTATAAAAGGAATAAAAATCTCAAAATGAAGCTCTTGCCTAAAATTAACTTCATTTCAAAAATTAAGTTCTCCTAAAATCGATCTCTTTTCTAAAATTAAGTTCTTTTCTAAAATAATTTGGCAATGACATTAATTCTTACATTGGATTGCTGACAATAACCAAATACTAAATATGAGATTACTATGGTAATTGATACCCGGGTATACCCATTTCTAATTAAGAGTACTGTCATTCAAATGTGCCCTTTATATCTTTGAGGAAATCTAATCTATAGAGGTCAAATGCTGTCTTATGAAGTGTCATCTATGCACAATCTAGTGTTGCAACTTTTTTGGGGGAAAGTAAACTGAGCATGTGGCCAGTAACTTGTACTCTTGATGTCCACTGGTTTTCAAAATATGGCTATGTGCCTCTGACAGTTTGATGTTTTGATGTCTTTGGATTTGGCTGCAGGATTCACGATCTGTTGGGGCTTTAGCAGGGCTTGCAGTAGCGATAGTTTTTACCTGGAGACTATTAAGATCACCTAGTGGACCTCAACGAAGGCAACCGAAACGGCAAGCTGTGACCCCTAGTAGATCTGGTGTAAGTATTAATTCAAATACAAATGTGGTAGCTTCTGGAGTGTACCCACCTTCAGAAGATTCAAGAGCACAAAATGTGATTGATGAGTTTTTCCAGCCTGTAAAGGTAGTGGTGATCATGATGTACCCCTACATGTCTCGTATACTGCTATATATTGATTTGCTAGCATCTAAAACTTTTCCCCTTCCCACTGCAGCCAACTCTGGGGCAAATAGTAAGGCAGAGGTTGAGTGAAGGGAGGAAGGTATCTTTTTATTTGCTTCATACTTCTGGTTTCTTTCTTGGTATTGCTGTTCATATTAAATATGAGTTGGGTTTTTGTGGACTAAGATGTTCTGGCCTTTTCTGATAATAATATGATAGGGCATGCTATTCACACTCCTCTTTTCAGTTGCAGTACTCTGGCTACTTTTTGTAATGTCCATTGGAGCTAAAGTGCTGCAATCAGAAAGAGAGTGCAAATGGCATTTCCTTAGTGTTATTTCTATCAAGTCGGATATTTATCTATTCCGAGGCTGACTGTAGTTTGTTCTTTGTGTAAAGAAATCAGAAAGCTTTGGTTTGGTAGTTCGATGGATTTACATCACAGTTTATGTAAGCTCAAGGAGATGACCACCGATGCAATTTGGCATTTTTCAGCTGTCCTGGACTTTTGGATGCATGCTGTTTGTTTATGTTCAGGATTTTCTTTCTGCCTTGAGTGTTATATGCTAAATTTTGAAATGTGGTATGTTTGGTTGTCTAGGTTTGCATATTTCTTAGCTTCACTTTTCCAGGGATTTTAGGTGTTTAGCAGTATTTTTGCAGCTGCTTAGTCAATTAAGTAGTAGAAGTAACTTTAAATCTGAAATTGTGTGAGATGTTGGTGAGACTACTGGATGAGACCTTTAGATTGCTTTACATCTGTGGTTTTTGCTTTCTTTCTGGATTTTGAATATTCTCTGCAAGTTGAGTAATTTCAGGAGTAGCTTAGGTGTTGTTTATATGTATTACTCTAGCGAGAAGACATGGTCTGGCAATGGCAAAGCTAGTTCGTCTGCCTATTGGGCTTTAAACAGAACTTCATCGAACCAATAGATGAGTTGAACAATGGGCTCAACTACCATCCTTGAAGTGAGAGCAACAAGAGGAATTTTTGTAGTGCCATCTTAGTGCACGCGCTTTTAGTGAATAAGTGACAATATGGGTTTCAATAGTCTGGAGGACGGATGAAAGCATATATTTGAGTAATTTGATTGTTGCACTCTGACTGAGAGTTACTTGTTCAAGCCGACCTGCAAAGGATAATGTTCTTGTCAATGTCGCATTTACGCTATAGGCAACTCCTTTTAGAACGAGATGTCAGGAACTAAAATTAGAAATATAGCTGTCATCAATTCTTGAGGGATATAGCATTAGATCTCATTATGAAACTCAAGAGGTTCTGTTTATTATGATGAAATGAGAAGTTGACTGGAAGGCTCAAGGAAATCCTGATTCAATTTACAAGATTCCAAAGTTAAAGAAGCTGCATATATTTCAGGACAACAGAGACATTCCAAGGGGTTCAAAGAAATGATCTGGGGTCAGTCGGTTTCACCTTCATATTGTGATGGTGCTTTTTCCCTGTTCCTTCTTAGAGTCTTGTCAATGACCAGATCCTTAATGCATTATATATAGTCTTTGTTTTGAAGATCAAAGTATTAGGTAACTGTATGGTCAAATAATCAGCCAATTCAAATGGAACTTTTTTGGCTTAATGAATTAAATTTTACATATAGATGTGTTAATGTTTTCAGCTTATATATTTTGTTAAACGTTTTATTTTGAATGCTGAGTTTTGGAGGATTCTGAGGCATTTGTGTTTATGCATATGGCTGTTTACTGAATTTTCATCTGGAGGAGAAGATTGTTGAATTTTTAAATCTTCTGCAGTTATGTGCTAATATTTTGAATTGGAAATATTCCTGTTTAAGAGATTGATTGTCATTGCTGAATAATAAGTCACTATCTGGCTGCAAGTCTTGCCTGTTTGCTGCAGTGGAAAATCTTCTAATGTCACACCTTATCCTGTTGCAATGACAGAATTTTATGTGTTGGTAAAGTCATTATGCTGTCAAATAAAATACACATGCATGATGCAACATAGGTAGGGCTCAAAGGTATCTCTAACTAGCAGGTGGTTGTTTGTTATCTTAATTCTTGTAACTTGCATTTTGCCCCTTTTTTATTTGAGTATTTAAGGTTGATGTGTTGTGATAGTGCCCCGCTCTTTCATCTGACGAATATAGCTTTTGAGACATATCTGTATTCCATGCCTATGATTCAATTCTCGATAGTACTAGGAAGTTGAGCTTTTTACATTGGTTAAATCAAATTATGAATTTGATGAAATTCATTACCTTTTTTGGATTATTCTGTTGAATTCTCTCACTACCTTCTAAATCACATCAAGATTTCATGCTTTTATTAATTTTTCTATGCAGGTAACTTGCCAGTTACTTGGTGTAATCCTTGAGGAAAGTAGTCCAGAGGAGCTTCAGGTTGTGACATTTTTTTTCAAGTAACTTTGTGCATAAATCAGAATTCTGAAAGTGATTGACTTTGGTCTTTATGTTGTTCTTGGCAGAAACAAGCCACTGTGAAATCATCTGTACTGGAAGTGCTGCTTGAGATCACGAAATTTTGTGATTTATATCTAATGGAAAGAGTTCTGGATGATGAAAGCGAAGTGCGTGCAATCCGTTTTTGTATATACAATTAACGTGATCTCAAATGTTGCTATTGCTTTTTTCCTTAATCCTATATATATTCTGTTATGTGCCATGTGCTTAAGGTGCTTGAGCAAGGTCCTGCAGGCACAAAAGGCTATTCACAATCTCGTCTGTAAAGGCCTTTAGTGGACATAACGTTTTTCTCTTCTTTTCTTTTATTTAGGCCTTTAGTGGACATAACGTTTTTCTCTTCTTTTCTTTTATTTACTTTGGTTTTTTTCTTTTTTTTCTCCCTTTGATCTAGGTATTTTCTAGGCCATTGAGCACATTTTATGGCCTTTCCTATTTTATTGTGTCCTACTCTGCATTTTTGTCACATGTTGTTAGGCTGTACAGTGATTGATTGGATCGTAAGTTTCTTCTTATGACTTAATGTTTTGCTTAATTTTCGATATAAATGAGAATAAATGTGATATATACCTAAAGCTATGGATCAGACTGATACTTATTTTTTTTTGTTTTGGGAAGATAATGTGAAGTCTTTATGAATCCAGTGCCTTATTTTAGTGAAACGCCCTTTACTCACCTGTTTGGTCTTCTATTTTCTTGCTAATTGACATCTACTCCAGGGATCACATTTAGGATATAACATTTCTGGGATTATGTTCAATCCTGAGGGAATATATTGTTGGATTTGGTTGGGATCTGGTTACAATATCCTATGGTCACATGTATCACTTAGATTACTGACTTACAATTGTGTTTGAGGGGCTAATTTTGTGGATACATGATATTTATTGACCAGCACCTTTAAGCTTGTGTTTTTATTGCCTTTTCGAGCATGAAATTTGCTTGCTTTATAAATTTTCTGCAACAGCATAAAAGTTATAGTTGCCTGGCACAAGTTTGCTGTAGACTGCCCCATTATTGTTTTCATTATTAGTCTGTACTTGTTAATTGCAAAAAAAAACTGAAATTTTCCACCGTTACTTACGTGATTATCAATTTTATGCAGAAAAAGGTTCTCCTGGCTTTGGAAGATGCTGGGGTTTTTACATCAGGTGGCTTGGTCAAAGATAAGGTAATAACTAGATAGGTGTCCACCTGACTGTTATTGTAAGAAAAGGTATTATAATACTGTTCTTGCCATGGAATTGTTGGACGTGTTTGTCTACTTAACATGATTTTCTCAGTCATATCATCTGTGTATTGTGTGAGGGCATATAAAGTTACATCATCTATGAGTGAAATTCCAATAATGCATTTGTTTCCCAGTTTTTGTGGTTAGTAGGTTTTTCTAAAAATAAAAAAAAAACATGGGTAGAGGGGAGGATGAAGGAAGATATTTCCGCTCATCGAGTGGTGTGAAAGTTTCTTTTCTTCTTCTTCTCTCTCTTTTTTTTTTTGGGGGGGGGGGAGATAATTTGCTGTCACCATCATGATCGTGGGAAAGCACTATTAATTGATTAAGAAGTGTAGCTATTGACTGCGTGATTTTGAACATCAAGCTATGTGCTTCTAAATGAATGTGTCTCATAATAATCAAGCAGATAGCATTGAAATATTGATATCATAATCCTCTTTTCTTTGAATTTCATATTCTTCTGAGGTCTATCTCTTGATTAAGCTCCTACTAAATTGTCATAGCAATTGGCCCTTGAATACCTTCAATTAAGAGAAGAGATTGAGGTGCAGAGAAATCTTGCTTATCAATTACATGATTATGCCCCACTGCCTCTTTTCTCCAAAAAAGGAATAGACAAAAAATCCTACAACGTGCTGTTGAATTATATAAAATGGGCACATGGTGCCCAACATTGTCAACGTTTCTGAATTTTTTGTTTCTCTTTTCTTTTCACTATCTACCTCTTATTTGGTTTTAAATGTTCGTGTAGGTTCTCTTTTGTAGCACAGAGAACGGGCGGACATCTTTCGTTCGGCAACTGGAACCAGATTGGCATATAGACACGAATCCTGAAATCGTATCCCAGTTGGCGGTATACTCCTAATACTTTCGATTCGTGACATAGTTGTTAAGTTGTATGTTGTCCCTGTGCCCTGTATTATAGATGCAGCTAGATTATCATATTAACTTGAAGGAAATCAAAACTTAGGACAACAATTTAGATAAATTACATATCGAGTAATATTTCTAAATCAAAAGTGATGGCAACATTAATAGTTTAATACACATCAAACAAATATTGTTGCCATAAGAAACTGGATTTCAAATACTTCTATGGTAAGTTTTAGTGAGGATTTGGATCATGAAGATTGGAAATTTTGGGCCCAAATCCATGGATTCACTATGAACAATGAGTACTTCATTCTTGAGTTGTATTTCATAAAATATGACATTTCATTACATTGATTTTTTTGTTCGACAGAACTCGTAACATGTTTAGCACACTACATAATTAGGTTACAAAGGGACGGTTTTTTGATGTCTATATTTTAGGTTCCGATTCCAATTTCCGACTTACAAAATCCGAGCTTGCAACTATACCTTAAAGCTAAAAATTTTTGCATCAGTATTTAATATATTGCGTTCTAATTGGTTAATCATTTCTCAGAGTGAGACTACATTGGATTCTAAATGCTGTACAGAGTTATTTTCTTATATATATGAGGCAAAACATAAGAAATGAGAGCCTTTCAGTGATTTTTTAGTCTTCACTTGCAAGATAATAATTTTCCAGTGTTAAAAAGAATAATTGAAAAATGGAAGACTTCAACCATTTGTTGGAAGTTTGCACGTATGGTATCTGTGGTGTTTGCTGCTGTATGTTATTGTGCATGTATGGTGGGATAAAGATATGATGCCTACAAGCCAGTTTTCCCAAGTGGAACCTAGGTTTACCTGCCTGCTGGCCATATTTGCTGATTCCACATGAAACTATGAATCATAGGTTTTGGTGCAGAATCTGGGAATTGCAACTTAGGTCAAAAGAATTTTACCATGTCAATGTTGGACCTGATTGTTTTGCATGCAAAATTTCCTATGCCTGTAATGATCATTTTGAATATTCGAACTTGTATTGAATGCTTACATATCATGTGAGGTATGCTTTAAAAGAATTTATTGTCTGTACTCTGTTGTGGAGGAGAGTTGGGCACTCACTACTCTTTTCATTTTCCCCAATGTCCCCGGGGCATGACTAGATTTTTTTTTAATATCTAGTGCATTATATTTTTATTGGACTATTGGTTTTACGGCAATTAGTCAATACGCATGTTCATGTCTATGTCTGTACATTAATGAGCGCTCTGCAAGGCTCTCTGGCCCATTTGGTCTTAGAAATTGCTGCTCTATCTCCTGTTCTCACTCTGCTATGCCACACAGTGGGACTTTTTATATTGATATATTCTGTTTGTGTATGCTGTAAAAATTTTGACTACATCTAACCTGGTAATTTGCAATGTGACTATGTCAATGATTATATATCCCTTCAGTGATGTAGACCATCTGTTCTTATTATTTTGCTTGTTCTCTGTGATTGTTATAGAGGTTCATCAAATATCAACTCCACGTTTCTCCAATGAAAACTGAGAGAAGTGCTGCCAATGTTCTCAGCTCTCCATCCTTGGAACAATTTTTTGGATGTGTTTGACGTGCCAGCCAGTAAAGGATGCAGATACTTTTTTTTTTCCCCCTATTCTGGTTTGCTTCTCTTCTTCCTTGTCGGATCAAGTTGCATCATACCTTATGTCCAGCTCACCTATATCTGCTGATTGTCAGATCAGAGACACTGTACTACTTGTCATTTCAAGCGATGATGCTTTCGCTGCTTGATCTGTGTCATAGATGATTCACATTGCTGTCAACTTTCAAAGTTCATAAAATCGTTGACATCTTTACTTTATCCCAGTTGAAATATATCACTACATACAATAATTGATTAGTTTGTGAGCTCATGGCCCATGTTGTATTCTCAAAGAATCCTCAAGATTCATGACTTAATCATGGAGTGTTGGATTTTAGCTTGGTTTATTCAATGTTTACTATTTTCGTTTTGTGAGGATTGTGATGATGTCTTGATTATTGTTTCTGAAGATGGAAAGTCCTAGTCAGGTGTACATGAGCCTTGAAACACTTCTCTCCAGAGAAGAAAGGAGACTAAAAAGAAGGCAACTGAAAGAAAGTTTGTTAAAGCAAAGATTTATTCGGTTGAATTGAGTTGAGTTGTCGAGATTAGGTATATATACTTGAATCAATGTTTGTCAACATGGTGGCCTTTGCCTCTCATTGGAGTTAGCGGGATTAGAGGTTGGAGAAAACCAGTGCTTTTAGCTTAAACCGATTTTCACAGGTGAGTGAGATCGAAGCGATCCAACTTTAGGGTGTGGTGGTTGACTCCATCTTTCCACGGGGAAAGATGGTTAATTTTCCTCTTTGCTCTATATTAAGAACCTTGCTTCATTGGTTGTGACATCTGGAACTTGGGTTTTTGATCTGTCTCGCCCATTATGTTTTTGCTACTTATCGTCATTTGATCACTCTCACCAGGTGAAGTGAAGAAAATATTGAATGTAACGGTGACACTATGTTATCAATGTCATGTTGTGTCATCAATCAGTAATAGAATACCAAGTGGATTTAGTATATTTCACTGTCAATAACTATCTTGCCTAATAACTGTCATGTTAGAATAGTGGGGTTCATCAATTTTATTTGTTATTTTGTAATTGATTTGTGACACTATGTGAAATTGATCACGTGGTGTTACCATGACACCTAATATTTTCTCCATCAGGTGGTTGGTTTAGTATGGTTTAATTATTTGTTTGATGTAGGCGGAGGTAAAATATAAGTGAAAGATCAAGTGAGTAACATAAGAGTAAAATTATTTGGACCTAAAAATTTAACGTAATTTGTTGATTTAATGATGTGGTTTCGTAGGAATTATTGGATCAATATCAAGTTTCAATGTTTAGTGGGGTTTACAATGAATTCAAATGTCATGGTAAATTAAATCAGTAAATTATGCGGTAACTTAGATTTTAATAGCATTGCTCGTAACATAAATACTAAATTAGTGGGGCAGTTGAGAGTGGAAGGCATCAAATAAAGAAGACTCAAACTCTCCCTTCAATTTATAACAAGAAATTCTTGGTACAAACTATGCCGTGCAATTTCTTTTGAAAACCTTTTTTTTTTTCCCTGTCAATTTCAATTCAAAGGGGTGTTTATGTTACAAGAGGGGTGTAAGTTTGGTTCTTTTTTCATTTTCGTCAAGTGGTTTTCATGTTATTAGTTGAAATAGACGCTCCATATGTTATTTTTAATGTATACAAGATATTATGTGTAATTAGTGAAGACATTGAGATGTCGATTGATATATAATATAGCTAACGGACATTCACATAAATCTATGAGATCATATATATTAATTTTGTGTTTATTGAGAGAGTAATTTTTTTTAAGAGTCTAGTTGGAGTTGTGTTCAATTGGTTCGTATATTGTAGAACGTGTTTGAGTTAGTTTTTATATGATTTTGACAACGACAAAGCCGCGTATTCATCTTTTTAGTAATAATCAATACTATTTAGGAAAAAATTTAATCACATCCCCTATAATTTATCATATTTTTAAAGACACCTTCTCTAGTTTTTGAATCTTCAATGACATCCCCTTTAGATTAAAAATATTAAGAGAAAATTTCAATGACACCCCCTCGAGTTTATCATATCTTCAAAGACACCCCTTCTAATTTTTAAATCTTTAATGACACCCCTTCTAGTTTAATTTAAACATCACTAACACCATCTACCATTAAACTATTATTTCTAACAAAATAAATTCATCTAAAATACCAAAAATGCCCCTACAAAACCTCAAGTAATTTTTTTACATAAAATTTTATTAAAATTTGAGCTGTTAAAATTTTAAAAAAAAAATCATAAATAACAATTTTAGTAAATAATTTGTTAGTAAATACTAATTTTTTATTTACTAATTAGTAAATTTAAAAAAAAATCAAGCCTATTAAAATTTTTTTTTACATATTAAAATTTGAGCCGATTTGAACTTTATCCGAGTTGTTAGGGCCGATTAAAATTCTCTTTCGAGTCGATTATAATTTATATTTTTTTCTTATTAAAATTTGTGTCAATTAAAATTAGATTTATTAAAATTTAAGTCAATTAAAATTCATATATTTTTATATATTAAAATTTAGGCGGATTAAAATTCAATGCGAATTAATTAAAATTTGATTTGAATCGATTAAAAATAAATTTTAATTGGCTCAAACAAAATTTTAACTAGCCCAAATTCTAATACGTAAAAAAAATATAATTTTTAATTCGCACAAATTTTAATATGTAAAAAAATAAAATTCAATTAGCTTGAATCGAGCGGGTCTCATTAAAAATATACTTATCTAGAGGGGGTCTCATTGAAGATATATTTATCTAGAGAGGGTGTGGATAAAGTTTGTCCTCAAATATATCATGGGCAATTTAGTAAAATTGCATTCTACTTAATATTTTTAATCTGACAGGGGATGTCATTGAAGATTCAGAAACTATAGGGGTGTCCTTGAAGATATGATAAACTACAGGGGTGTGGTTGAAATTTTTCTTACTATTTAAATTTTAAAAATTGATCTAATTTGTTGATCTAATAATGTGACTTTATTGTAACCATTGAATTAACACAAAGTTTCAATGTTTGATGAGACCCACAATCAATCTAATGATTATAATGAATTAGTTCAGTAAATTAAATCTCAATGCATTGTTTTTTTCCGAAATTCCATTATTTGATTGTTAGTCAATTGAAGTTGGGTGTAATTTCTATAAGTCTCAAGTGATTGAATGTCATAAATATAAGGGTAAAAATATGGTTGATCCCTGAACTTTGTCTTCCATTGTAATTTTATCTCTAAACTTTCAATTGTCTAAATTTAGTCTTTCAATTACCAATTTTGTCTTAATTAAATCCTTCAACCAATTTTCGTTGTTAGGCCAATTGGAGACCAGCCCAATTTATTTCAGCACCGATCTAATAGTGAAAATAAACAACTATGAAACACGGATACGAATATAGAATACAGATACGATACGGATATGGCGATACGACAAAAAAAAATATACGGGTACGACTATGATACGTCCATAAAATATATATATTTTAAAATATTATTATTATATTTAATATAATAATTATGATTTATAAAGTGAATCACACATCTACTAAAAATATATAATAATAACTAACCATTCTATCATTCATAAATCATACATTCTATATCACATACATATTGCATAATATCAAGTCCATGCTTAAACAAAAAAAACCAACTGATTACAAGTCAAGCATTATGTATATATACAGAAACTTGGAATCAGTTCTTAGAGGACCTGATTATGTTGAACCACAGAACCAGACAGTATCGAGTATCGACTCAAGTGGTCAATTTAGCTGGGGCATCTAGAATTGCAATGCAAAAAAACCTAATTCAAGGTCCCCCCCAAAAAAAACATAGTTATTGAATAATATATTTGTATATGTATAGTTTGTTCTGCAAATTGCTCCAAAAAAAAAAAATTCTAATTGCAAATCCTAGTTCAAGGCCCAAAAAAATCTCCTAAATTGCAAACCCTAATTCAAGGCTCAAAAGGAGTGCTAATCACTGGTAAAAGGCAAAAGAGACAACAGAGAGACAGAAAAATAGAGAGAGGAGAGAGTTTACCTGAATACGTGGACATAGAGAGATAAGATGTTTTTCGTCGTCGAGAGATGCTGTTGAGGTCAAACACAGGTCATCGGAGGTGAAAGAGGGGATACCTGTCGTTGATCAGCGTCAAATACAGTCAGTTGATCGTTAGTGTGAGTGAGTGAATGAGAGAGAGACAATCGTCGATCGTCAACTGAAGGAGAGCTGTGGAATAAAAGAAGATAGGGTTTCATAATATATATTTTTTTTGCCAATAAGGGCTTAAATATATTTGTTCTTGTGCCCCTATACTTTTTTAAAATTCAAGTAATACCCCGCCGTATCCTTATGTGTATTCTAGGCACATCTCACTCGTATCCAAAACGTATCCAGTCGTATCCAAAAATTAAATTTATTTTTTTAATTTTAGGATACTTCTCAGACGTATCCGTGGCATATCCGGTATGTATTCGACTCGTATCTATATTCAAAAATATCCGATACGGATATTTTGACCCTTTTGAAGTATCCATGCTTCATAGATGAACAAAATGACTTAATTGAGACAAAGTTAATAGTTGAAGGATTAAATTGAGATAATTGAAAGTTCAAGGACTAAATTAAAACCAACTTCCGGGATGGTTTGTGTAATTTGCTAACATATATTTTAATCCAGAAGCAAAACTCCGATCTTATTCCTTGCTTTAGAAATAGGAAACTAATGGAGTGTCTCAGCAACCTAACTCCATTTCCTTCGAAACCCCAGTCAAACCAACCTGTAACCGTTCATCTACACTCTCTCCCGCCAAATCCCCTCAACAACCATAACTACCAGAATTTCAGAATCAAAGCATCATCACTAACACCTCCAATCCAATCCCAAACACCCACAAAAACCAAACATGACCGGAAACCCTCCACTTCTCCCTCCAAAAAGCAACGACCTTTTGCAGAAGAAGATGCATACCCAATGTCTATCCCACTCCACAGGAAAAACCCACATGCCATTTACGAATCCATTCAAAGATTAGCCAGGCAAAACAAGCTGAAAGAAGCTCTGACCATCCTAGATTACTTAGACAAACAAGGCGTCCCAGTTAACGCGACTACATTCTCTTCTCTCATCGCCACTTGTGTACGAAGAAAAGCTTTAGATGAAGGGAGACAAATACATACCCATGTTAGAATCAATGGGCTTGAAAATAATGAGTTTCTTCAAACCAAGCTTGTCCATATGTATACATCTTGTGGCTCCCCTGAAGACGCGAAAAGGGTGTTTGATGAAATGCCTAGTAAAAGTGTTTATCCATGGAACGCATTACTTCGAGGCAATGTGGTTTTGGGTGGAAGGCAATATCGTGATATACTGTCTACATTTTCTGAAATGCGGGCATTGGGGGTTGAATTGAATGTGTACAGTTTCTCTTGTTTGATCAAGAGTTTCGGGGGTGCTTCGGCTTTTTATCAAGGTTTAAAGACACATGGACTTCTGATTAAAAATGCGTTGGTGAATAGTTCAATTCTTAAGACTAGTTTGATTGATATGTATTCTAAATGTGGTAAAATTAAGCTAGCTCGTCGGGTGTTCGAGGAGATTGAGGAAAGAGATGTTGTGGTGTGGGGGGCGATGATTGCTGGTTTTGCGCACAACAGACTGGAAAGGGAAGCATTGGAGTATTTGAGGTGGATGAGAAAGGAAGGGATAGACCCAAATTCAGTTATACTGACTATAATTCTTCCCGTGATAGGAGAAGTTTTGGCTCGAAAACTTGGCCGGGAGGTTCATGCTTATATCATCAAGACAAAGGAATACTCGAAGCAGTTACCTATTCAAACTGCTTTGATTGATATGTATTGCAAATGTGGGGACATGGGTTCAGGAAGAAAGGTTTTCTATGGGTCGATGGAGAGGAATACTATTTCTTGGACTGCTTTGATGTCAGGATATGTCTCAAATGGGAGGCTTGAGCAGGCTTTGAGATCAGTTGTTTGGATGCAGCAGGAAGGCTTCAAGCCTGATGCTGTCACGGTTGCCACAGTTGTTCCCGTGTGTGGACAATTAAGGGCTTTAAAGCAAGGGAAGGAAGTTCATGCTTATGCTGTTAAGTGTAGTATGTTCCCCAATGTATCTATAGCTACCTCCCTAATGATGATGTATACAAAGTGTGGTGTTTTGGGATATTCATCTAAGTTATTTGATCGTATGGAGAGGAGGAATGTGATCTCGTGGACAGCCATGATCGAGTCATACGCTGAAAGTGGGCATCTGCATGAAGCTGTTGATGTCTTTCGCGCAATGCAGTTGTCCAAGCACAGGCCAGACTCAGTTGCTATGTCAAGTGTGTTGAGGGTTTGCGGTGAACTTAAAGATTTGAAGATTGGGAAGGAGATTCATGGACAGGTCTTGAAGAAGGATTTGGAATCCATACCTTTTGTTTCTGCAGAAATTGTGAAAATGTATGGGATTTGTGGAGCACTTGATAAAGCAAAGTTGGCTTTTGAAGCAATTCCTGTCAAGGGAACAATTACATGGACTGCAATTATTGAAGCTTATGGATATGGTGGCTGCCATCAAGAAGCGATTCATCTTTTTAACCAGATAGTTTCTGAAGGTTTCTCCCCAAACCATTTTACCTTTAAGGTGGTTCTTTCCATTTGTGAGCAAGCTGGATTTGCAGATGAAGCTTGCAGAATCTTTAATATAATGACTCGAAGGTATAAAATTAGAGCATCCGTCGAACATTACTCTAGCATTATTCAACTTCTAACTCGTTTGGGTCGCATTAAGGAGGCTCAAGATTTTGACCACTTGAGATCGTCCTTGGGATGACACAGAAAATTGGATCTGCTTCTTGCATTGTAAAGGTTTGTGGAAATCACTCGGATAATTGGATCCTTTTCAAGTCAATTTCTATACATATGGCCATTTCCAACTCCAACTATGCTGCCCTTAACCAATGTGATGCAATTGCATTCATTGGATGATTAGTGTGACCTGCTGTAAAGGATAAATTGCTGTTAGAAATTTTTTCAAAATAGTATATATATATATATACACAGAGAGAGAGAGAGAGAGAGAGAGAGCATTTTAATGGGGTTTCAAGTTACTTAATAGTTATTGATTCATTTTGGAAAATAGTATAAAACCGTTAATAGAGAATCTCACATTTGAGAGTGAGAAAAAGTGGAAGAGATTTATTAATACACTTTGTATATACTTTTGCTTTAATACTAAGAATACTAGTATTTGTGAGGATGCACACTTGGACCATTCATGCACAAGCATGTGGTGTGGGTTGTAAGACGCTTTAGAGGCACATTTGGTACTTCGAACGTAAGCATCGGAGCGAATGCGATTAAATCAACACGATATGATTAATAAACGAATTAAATATGAGTGACACTAATTAAAAAAAATACACGATACAACTTATTTATATATCGATTATACGTAATTAATACATATCACAAATCAAATATAATACAACTTGTTAGACATGTATTAATAAACAAATCAAATACAAGTGAAGCGCTTTTGACACAAAACAGTTTAAACTTACACGAATCCGTTTCACCTAATCCGACACGACATGACACGATTGACAAGGCTACCCATCACACAGTAGTAAGCAATGAAAATTTATTCCTATTCAAAATGTAACCTTACAACTTTACAGACAACAGAATATTAAGCTTCAGACTTGGGACAAATAAAAATTGCTTGCCACTGCATGATAATAAGTCCCATTTAGCTTCTTCGATTCTTAAAACATGAATTATGGAAAATGCTTCAATCCAATAATCGTAAAATCACTCACCTGTTACTAGATAAATTCAAAATTCCTACCACGCATATCAGACACAGACAATAGAGGAACCTTGTTTCGTCGGGAATGCATCGATCTGCTATTCGAAAATTCTTTACCATAAGTTGCTTCTGAACGCATTTTAAGCAATTACCATAAATAAAAGGTTGACCTGTTATCCTTTTTCCAACCTAGCATGTGAAAATTTAAACAAAATAATCCCTCAAAATATTAGCAAATTATGGCATACATATGACATACGATGACTACTGTTAACAGCTATGCTCTTAACGTCAGTATGACATAGGATGACTACTGTTAACAGCTATGCTCTTAACGTCAAACTATATCCACCATCTCGTCGTCAAGTCCCTCTACACCCACCTTCTCACCGTCACCCTTGTACTGCAAGTAAAATTGTTCATATCAGATCATATTCAATAGTTTCATAACAATACAATATCCTATGCAAAAGCAGATTCTGTTTTGATGGTATACATTGATTAACACTTATACGACGCAGGGAAAAGGAAAAAAAATAGAAATTAGAAACTGATGGCATGCAAAGGGGAACTACAACTCGCTAGCAACAACAACATGCTAAATGAAATTTCAATTCTCAAATCAAACTAACCTTTGAGTAAGTGCCTAGAGGCACAGGAGGAGGTGGTGGCAGTGGTGGTAAAGGCAATCCGGGGATCTCAAATGTAACCCCCTTTCCAACTTCTGTAGAAGAAGCCCCAACCAACTCAAACTTTTCCTCCATTTCAACAGTGTCAGCAACTTCATCCACTGCATGGGCAGCTATGCTAGTTGATGGCAACACAGGGCCTGATTCAGAAATCCTCAACTGCACATTTTAATAGCATGTAAATGTTGGACCTTCTTTTTTAAAATATATTCCAGTACAAGAATGATAAATAAATAGCACTTTTCCGGTATAGGGTATACTTATGCATGTCCTAATGATCAGGCCTGCATATTAAAAAATCAGGTCATGAACAATCATGATGTCTCTTCATTCTATAAATTACTAACAGCACCACAAGCTTCAAGAGAACAAAAAGTGCTAGGGAACACAATGGATACCCCTCATATGCTTTGACGTTTGAACCAGTATCATCATTCCTCATGAAATTGAGGTTCAAGGCAACTTACATAGTTAAATTGTGCTGATAATACACTTTTGCAGATCTTGTAATGCATATATGACAAATCAAGTTAACGACATGGAATCATTTGGCATTTATTACAAAAGATAATTAGGCATGTGTGGCCTCAAAGGGATTTACCAAAAATGGATGCATGAGAAATGCAAGCATGTCAACTGTTTTTTTGCAAGGGGCAGATCTGTTGCTTTTCTTGATACATCATTTTCTGTTGCTTATCCGCTGTTTTTCATTTTGGCGAGCCTACTATGCAAATGTGATGATACAGCCAAATTCCTAGAGCAACCAAAACAAATTGGAATGGGTCGAGAACTCCCCAAAAAATATAGACCCACTAGGAATAAAAGCTCCATCACACCCTCCTCACGTGCAATCTGGCCCGCGTGTGGGCGAACAAACCAAATTGAAAGAGAACAACAATCACACCAGGGAATCACTTATTCAAATGGACTCAACGTGTTGACCACCTAAGATCCAGCTCTAATATCATCCATATTAGAGCATCTAGCACCAAAAAAAAAAAACCAACCAGCAATTGGTAGAGGCCCCTCAACTATATAAACCAACTTTTGGTGACCCTAATCTTTTGATGCAGGATCCAAGTTCTCTCTACCCACAACAGCACTTAGGCACAACTGTCCCAACATCAAGGAAACAATGCTAGTGCATTTATCACATAGAAAGCAAACAAGACTACCCAAGTGCAGAAGAAGGTACAAGAATAGAAAACTCACCTTATCTCCCGACAGAATGTTAATGTAAGTGTTCTTTTCCCATTTTGCCTTGTCTTCATTTGCCAAGGGTCTAAAACCATTCTTTCCATTACCCTCCGCCACAGCTTCCTTCTTATTGTTATATTGAGCATGATCAATATTCCACCGAGAAAACTTCCCCGAAGTAATTGTTCCTGTCACAAATCCTTCTCCTTCTGTTGGATTTACTGGTGCTAAACAAAATTGTCAGTTACAAAAAAGGTAAGCACACCCATTCCTTAAAAGAACATCATAACCATTTCGGTCATGTGCAAAGATGTTTCATGTGAATCACCAGACAGCTAATTATAAGGACTCAAATTTGAAAAACTGAAATATCAAACAACTGTGTAGGATCAATTAACTCTTCTGTTGCCGGAACATCAACTCTGCTCAAATGGTAATTTTAGATCAAACAAGATTGGAGATGTATTGACCTAGCAGAATAAGTGCTATTTCAAAAATAATTCTGAATCGACATACTTAATTTGGGTATTATGGAAGGTAGTTATTGTAGGTTTCACAATTTTCGCAAATACCACCTTAAAAATTTTAAGCGAAAACAACTAGTAAATTACTTCACCTACATTACTGGTTAAGTCTACATGTTGATGTCATAGCAATTTTCGTAAGCTATTCTAAGAATTTGCATTTTAAACAGGAAAAAATAGAGAATATCAAAGCTCTAATAAGGAAAGAAGAGTCTCAAGAAGATATAAAGTGAAAGTGCCAGGCTTACAACCACGAGGTCATGGTTATTGGCTCTGACATAATGACAATCACTTCATGATACAATACTAAATGTTAGGTATTTATTTAATCTGGGTTCTACTAGTAACCCTTGAAATCTTCACGAATATATAAGGTGAAGCCAATCTAAATAGTCCAAGAAAATCCACCTTTGAATTTGAAACAAGTAATCAATTTCCCACAAGCAGAATACTATAGGCCACTGCATAGTGTTAGTCCCATGAGCTGAAATGCTAAGGCAGAGGACTGAGAACTGATTCAGCCTTTGACTATTTTGTATAAAGTGAACTATCCTTATACTGAATCTGCATTCTTGCACCTGGCACTAGCAGCACAACCTTTTCTCAAATGGTAACAACTATGGACCTCTACAACAAGAACAATAATAGGTATTTTGCAAAGTATATAAGAATAAGATGAGGCGGATGAAATTCCAAGTATATTGTCTTCGCCCACATTGCTTGGTGAAGGGACTGAAGAGTGCCTTATAAGTGAAGGCTTTGGGCCTTCAGTATTAAATCTGTTTTAAAGTTGTGTGGATCTAGCCCAAAGCAGACAATATTATATAGGGAGAGGGCCGGGCTCATGACAATCTACAATTAGTACTAATGATTGTTTAGCTTCTAGCATGTGGGCCCCCAAAAGGGAGGACGTTTCCGCACCAACTTGCGAACTTTCAGAAGTCCATGTTATCAACTTGAGAAATTGGTTGGATAAATGCGACAGTGGAGTTTATCATATTGTCATAATCTATCAGCATTAATTTACCCTCGAAGGTTCTCTTACACAAGAAAACCAAGACACTGCTATCAACATCAATTCTGGGGTTGATGTGGGTTCTACATCTGGTATCTTTGTCTACAGATCATGGTCTTTCCAAAAGCTGTTCCCAATTTGAGAGCAATAAACAAGGTTTAAGGGTTAAATTCTCTAATATCTAACCTTTCTGCAGTGACCTTGGAAACACAAAATTCAATGCCAAAATAAGTTAATGCTCAAGATCAAGAATCCAACTATTTGAAGAGTTTTTTTAACATGAAAGCAATTTTAATTTTGAAGTGCTACCTTGATTTAAATCTAGATCAGCTTTCATGCGAATTCGCTGTCTTTTTCTGCTGGGAGAAGCATTTGTTTGTAGCTCAGTCCATGAGCTTAACACAAGATTACCAGTTGTCTCTCCATCACTCATCATATTGATGCTTGAATCCTCTTCATTGGCACCAGATCTAGCAGCATCTGAAGCAAGCTGGTCCCCCAACTTCTGAACTCGAGCTTGTGACCTGCAAATTTATCATTTACATAGACAAAAGTATAATTTATGTAAAGATCAAAACAAAGTTATCAGGTTAAACATCAGTTGAAGGACAATCACAAGAGAGTTGAGAAACAATATAGAACAGAAATTTACCTCTTTAGTTCAGCTTGTAGCCTTAAATGACGACTTTGAGCTTTAACAAACTTCTTGATTTTTGAAGTAATCCTGGAATATGGATAATACCAAGATATTAAACAATACTAGAGAAATAGTTCATGCTCGAATAGCATTTCAAAGAATCACATTGCCTGTAAGTAGACAAGAAGGACAGGAAATTCCAGTAATAAGTGGTAAAATCACCTTTTACATTCCTCTTTCTCTTTACACAGTTGCATCTCAAGCTCCTCGATTTTAGAAGTTAGACCATCTGCTTCTTGGATCCTCTCTTCCACGTAGATCTTCAAACAATCAACATAGTATTGACAAACAAACAATCAACATGTCAAAGAACATGCAGTAACATGGAAACAATATCTGTAAAGGAATGTGAGAAAGAAACATTGTGATCAACCATGAATAGGGAGGTGAAAACAAAATTATACTCAAAAAGTCCTACAGTGAATTGTAAAGGGACCAATATCTGAAAGAACCATTATGAACACCTGGAGGTGAGAACAAAGTAGTACTTAAATGGTCCTGTAGTGAACTTTCATATCACCTAAACAACCAAGGGCATTGATGCCAGCTCCTCACTCAAAATAAATTATAGAAATGAAGGCAAAATGAATATAAATGCTAAATGAAATCTTGCTGTTGAGTGTTTACTAATAAGTAATGCCTGGCACATGGTATCAATGTCTGCCGCCAGCAAACAAATGAATTCACTGAGCTGGCAGAGAGAGGAAACTTTTTCCTAAAGATAGAAATAGGCCTTTCGAAGAAGAATAGAAGAAACAATTATCTAGAGCTCAGAGTTTTTAAAAAATTTAACCTCCTCATGAAGAAAAAGAAGAAATGTGAAAAAACAAAAACATGTCCAAAAAACTGAACAAAATCACACTCTTCTGTCAAGCCACTGTGACTAAGAACAAATGACACTAACCTCCAGTTGATGTTTGTGGTCATCCAGCATGTCAACTTCAGACTGCACTTGTCTCAACTGCACATAGATCAAAAGCAAATGATTAACATGACATATTATGGGGAAAGCAAGGACTGGGAGCACCCCCTCAGGAAAATTTAGAGTTCATTTTTCGAAGTAATTCAATCCAAATGACCAATTCAACAAACCTGCACTGCTAGGGCATCTTTGGAATCAGACGATGTGAGCTTTTTGTCTTTGACTTGATCTTTGTTCCCATCTGAGATATCCAAGCTTCCAGAAAAATCACTTTGGCCATCCAATGGATGTTTCTTGCTGTGTTTTCTGGCACTGCATCATTATATAGGTGTAATGCTAAGAAATCATATGGATGTTACCAGCAATGATAGCAGAAAAATAAGACAATACAATAGTTGCTCTTTTATATTTGAAGTCTGGTCCTTATCCAAATTTTTCTTTAAAAATAAAGGAGAAGTTTAAGACGCAAAAAAATATAAGAGATCACTGTATCTGTTCGGGAAGTAATGTCATTCTTCAACTCAAAAACAGGCATGAAACACGAAGCCGCATGCTATCAAACATCACAATGTAGCACGCCAGTTAGTTTAGAGAAGAGCATTTATCCATTTGGAGATCCATTATGCAACCAAAAAAAAAAATTCAATAAGGTATAGACTATTCCATAATACTACTACACGTACAAATATAAAAAGTACTAATCATTCGACAGAAAGCACAATGAAATCAGTAAAATCATCTATATCATGAAAACTTTCCAGTCTTAAATCTCCAAAGGGGAACATTGGATTGCGGATAAATAAGCGATGCATTGCCACAGTTTTGTGATGGAAGTCCATGAATAATCAACTTCTGTCAATACAGGCCACACTAGGCATGATGCAATAATTCATTCTCCACTGAGTAAACTGACACATTACATGGACCTCAGGAGGGTTTAGCTCCTCTGCGATTAGAAAAAAACAGCACGGTGTGCTGCTACAGGAAACAATGCCGTTTTAATTAAGTTTTGCACAGTTAAAAAAAATTTCTCTGAATTAAAATCAGACAAGTCTTTAAAGGTTCACTCTCCCTCTAAAAAAGAGTCTTCCGCATGAGCCAAGTCCCAGCCAGCCATTGCACCATCTCTTCTGCCATATCCCTACCAGAAAACTCATCCTCCTCCACCTTACTATTATAGACCTCCGCTTTAACCCCTCCTTTTACATCAAATACCAAGTTTCTACAACATATTTAACCAATTACGGAAACCAGAAATTTTTTATTGTCTCACTACAATTTTCAGCAATCCCTATAGCAAAATCAAATGCATGTCTCCATAATAAACAAACTTAATCAATCATAATCCACATAATAGTCACATGTGGAACCATGGATTCAGAATCTGCGAGTAGACATGAAGCTAAGAAGGAAGGAAATGTGCATCTTCATGCAACAGTAGAGGGGTGCATTTCTCTTGAAAATGAATCAGGTCTAGTGTTGATCTTGAAAAACATTGATTGGTAGGGAGAATAATTTCAGAAAGATCTGTCAACAAAATTGGTGTGAAAAAAATTGTGAATAGCGCCTGGCGCACAAAGTACACCCTACATTAGTGGAGGTTCCAATATTTATACCTTCTTGTTTGGATTCTCTCCTTGTGAAAGATCTGTCAGCAAGATCTGTCGGCGGAGAATGGGGATTCAATACCTTCTTGAATTCGGGCTATAGATAGAGATTGTGGGTGATAATAGGTTTTAGTGGGTGATGACTTTTGTTAACATTTCTAGAGAGGGGATCTATTGGAGAGAAATTAGCGGTGAGAGAGAGAGAGAGAGAGAGAGAGATGGGTCTTGAATGTGCAACTAGGAAACACGAATACAGACACAAGGATACAATAAAGTTAAAAAATGTAGAACACGGGTATGACAAGGATACGGCTATTAAAATAATATAATATATTTTTTAACTAATAATAAAGTTGTAATATATTAAAAATAAAGTATATATTATAACAATATTAATAATAAAACCTAGAAAATATTAATTTTTTAATTAAAATTGAAATAAATCAAAATAAATATCCATCATTTTCATCAAACATCATTACATATATTGACATAACAAAAATTATATTAAAAAAATTAAAAATAACACCTATTTTAATAGTCAATAGTTGTTTTTAAAAAAAAATAAAAATTCATCGTCATATCCAGCGATGTCCTAAACTTGTCCTAGATGTGAATTGGCGTATCCTAGACGTGTCTTGGTTGTATCCAAACCGTGTCCGACTGGGTTCACTATTCAAGGCACTTCTAGCCATATTTGACACTATCACGACATCCATCCGAAAAGTATCCGTGCTTCCTAGATATGCAGAGTTTGTGCAAGGATTATAGAGAAGGAGCTTGGCACGGGTTACAGCAAAGAGAGAGCTCCACTGGTTTGTTCTTGGGAAAAAAATTTAACTGGCAAAACTTAATTAAAATGTCGCCATTTCCTCTAACAGCACACCTGTTATTGTCTAACCGCAGAAGAGCTGCACCCGCCTGAGGGTGACTGCCAAGTACAAGAATGGCATCTCTGCAATTTAAGAAATCCAAAAAATGGGTGCCATGGTAAACTTCTCCACCACAATCAAGAAAGAAACTGCAATGAAGTCAAATTCAAACTAATTGTCAACTTCCAATATCATTACCAACATCCAGTTGGGATTGAAGTGCACATGTGCTATGCCTTTGTTCCACACAAGTCTAAGGCACACAGAGCCATCAGTTCCACAACCTCCACCACAATCAAGAAAGAAATGGCACTTAAGTCAAATTCAAATTCATGGTCAGCTTCCAATATCTTTACCAACATTAAAAATTGGCATTGCAGCACAAGATCATTTGTACTATGCCTTTGTTCCGAGTAAGTCTAAGGCATTCAGAGCCGTTTGTTCCACAACCTACTTCCATAATACGCCCAAACCCAACACATTGACTGCCTCACAGATAATGAACAAGGCAATATACAACCATATTGCAATACATCAAGCTTAAAAATCAAATTATTACAAAAAAGATGATGTCATAGAGACACAAACCCTAAAAAGAGAACAAAGATACATTTTGAATTAAAGTTACCTCCTGTTCCTAAGAAATCTGGGGGGACTGTATCCTGCAAATGAAACAAAACAAATGAATCAAAAGGACCTGACACCTATCTCAATAACAAGAAAGAAAAAGAACCAAAAAAAGTAGATACAGGAAATGATAAAAGATTAAATTAACATGAATATCAATTAAGTCCTTGAATAGCTATAACAATACATTTACATCAAAACGAGAAAAAGAGGGAACACAAACCAAACATCACCAACCACAAAATAGTGACACAATGGTGACTGTACTCCGCCAATCCTCAATCAATCCAAATTAGAAGAATATAAACCTACTAAAAATAACCACCACAAGAAAGAAGAGCAAAATGGAATGCACTTGCTTACCATGAGATGCATGCCGACCTCTTCCATCAGGGGAGTACCTTCTTGGTGGAGAAAGTCTTCTGTCAAGCTTATCTCTCAAGTCACTACTCCTATAATCCCGCCTCCCTGTAGAAAAGAAGAAAGAAAGTATTTCCAATAAAATGAACCTAGTCATCTTTAATTTTAGAAGTAAAAAAAAAAAAAACAGAATGCTATTAATCAACAATGAAGTTAAACTTACCGTCACAGGGAACAACATGATTAACATAATAATGAACAGTTATGGTATTGGTGCCTTCTTGCAAGTTCCAAAAGAGCGATATGAATTACCAGAAATGTACTAGCGACAGTAATAGTGCCTTCTTGCGAGTTCCGAAGGGGCCATAGGAATTATCCATCTCATAAATGAATAGATATTAGGTATACCCATGTTTGAGCTAGTATAACCGAGAAAACCCTTCAAACAGAATAGAAGCAACTGATAAAAGATAGTAGAAATCCTTTGTGTCTTGAACAATAAGAATACAATGAAACTTTATTGTACAGATTTCTCCTGGATGTCATATCAAAGAAGTTTGATTCATCCCATATGACATATATTGGCCTGGTTCTGACCACACCTTCCTTCCAAGAAATCCTCTTTCCAGTATCATTCAAAAAGTCACAATGAATGAAATACCACATGCTCCACCAATACATAAACCGCAGAACTTCCTAGGAAACATATTAGGATGTTTCATAGAACTGGCTGGTGAACTATGATTATTCAAGAAATGACATAGACAAAAACCTAATTCTGATCCCTTGTAAAACACTGCTGTTTCATCGATGCATTAGGATAAACCAAGATGAAGTTTGCTGGAAAACATCTCAAGCAGCATTAAGATAAACTAACCCGCACAATCTCTTCTGATAAAGAAAAACTAAACCTGTCAGTTAATATGCACTGTTATTGGTTACTGAAATGCCCAAACTGTCGATACAATGTTAAAAGCCTCTAAACATGAGACTTGAGAACATCTCCAATCAAGCAAAAAAAATTAATTTGCGATTCTTGATGAATATACTCTGTAATTTGTCACACACATATGGGCACTGATTTGTCCTGACTTATGATCAACGTAAAACAGCCATCTATACTAAAGAAAAAAAAAAAAGAGCCCAAACAAGTGATTTTGATATAAAAGAATTAACATCAGGGCAATTGAAGATGGAAGCCAACCTCATAAATATGCACATGCATACAAGAACCGGCTAGATAGCCATGAAATGATAGGTGTGAAGATGAGGCAAAGCCTCTCTACAATGAAAATGGACATGGGTTCTTAAGAAACTAAATCTCCTTGAAAGAGATTGGGTTGAGTTGTTGAAAAAGCTAGATCTTACTAAATGGCGTGAGTTCTGGAAAAACTAGATAGATCCAGTCCAAGGTAAACTGAGAAATACAGTGCACACTTCCTGTCCTTTTTGAATAAGACATTCAAAATCTCTCCTTGTACCTCTTTTTTTTGGCCGAACCCTTTACCTTCAAAATTACTCCATCTATATCTCACATCCAAAACAAAATTTAACATTATCTTCGACTCCATACCAAAATCAAAATACCAAATATGAAAAAGGACACCAGAATTATTTCTCAATTTGGTATCTTTTGCAGACAGACTACCACTAACATTTCTGAACTTAACAAAACAAGGTAGAATCAATTTCAATATCACATTATAACTAAAAAGAAAATAGGAACCCATTCAATAACAATTATTGAGAAGAATTACTCACAAAATGAAAAAAGGAAAACAACCCAGCAGAGATACACATCTCATATTTCACTCGATAGAGTGTTTGTGGCATATTGGAGCATACATATAGCCTTCCACAATCATCTCTCCCACGTTTCATATTTTAGCAAAAAGAACCCCTAACACGCAGAGGGAGACGTGCTAATACTAAACTTCATTCATCTTAATGCTTTCCTACATGTCTTTGTGGACTCTCAACCATCGCAATGAAGTAGATTGCATGGGTCCATTCAAGGTATAGCAATAATAAACAAAAAATTGAACTTCCAACAAACCAATAATTAAAAAATAGACACACATATACCTAGAGAGAGTACAATTGAATGGAAATTACCATTGAATGAAGCAGAGAAGCGTCGGAGCTCGGCATCGCCGTGGGCAAAAGAGCAGGTCTGGCGACGACAGTGACCTCTCTGATACAGTACGCAAAGCTTCGTCTTGTACAGCTTTCGGTCCACCATTTTTATCAGTATCAGAATATATACTTGCAGATATAGTTCCCGGAAAACAATTACGGACAGATAAGAAAACGCATAAACGATCTCTGAACTTCGAGTTTGATGATATGGACCGAACAATCTGTGAGCACCAAAAAAACCCTAATATTTCCGATTGAACACCAAAACCATAGCCAGGAACGCGAATTTTTCTGTTCTGTATAACTCCGGAAAGATCGAAACCCAATATAATTGCTACATGTTCGGCATTTTAGTTAACTCCTTATGAGAAGGCCAATGAAGGTTCCACTGCGCCTGTAATCGGAAGAATCGAAGAGAATGGGGGATAGAGATATTGAAAGAGGTTGGGAAAGACTTAATTTAACGGCAATTTTTTTTTTTTTTAAACAAAAGACACACGGTAATTGGAGGATACCATTCAATTTGTTTTCATATGTAATTTGACGGGGGTAACGGGGTCCGAAGGTATTATGTAATGTAAATCTATTTTAAATCGTCGGTTAAATTTATTATATTTTATATTCTAAATTAATGTATGTAAACTATATGATTATGCCTTTTTTTTTTCATTAATGTGCATTTTTGGATATTACTTTGGATTATGTTTTTGATGTTAGAAGCCGTTCTAATAATATTAATTGGACGTACTTAATTCCACATAATATTACTTGGGGTCGTACACAAGGTATTAATGTGCATATAGAAAAAATTTAAAAGAAATTATAATTGATAAATCTGTGTGGCCATGGGATTTATGAGTGGTTGCAGTGGAATAACCAAACCAAGCTTAGTTTTATGTTCCAATTATTTGGGATAGGTTATATGAGTTCGTCTTCACCATTCATTCATTTTAGTTATGTATTATACGCTCGTTTAAGTTAATATTTATATGATTAAAATAAATATTTCTTGGTTGCAGTTGAATACAATTAAAAATAATTATATATGGTTAAAAAAAAATAATTCAGATATTTTGTGGGTGGATGCTAAATCCCACTCTCTTCTTTTATTAAGAGTATAGATATTTTAATTTTTTTTAAGTTTTAAAAATTTACCAAAAGTTTACTAAAACAAAAGCAATTATCAAAGATCTTTTCTGAATTTGTTTATATTTTTTTCATCTTTTAATCATAAAACAATAAATTATTTTTTATATGAAAATTTATTTTTTACAAAATACTAATAAATAATTCTAACTGGTTTAATCAGGTAGTATGTCATCCAGCAGTGGAACTAGGATTTAAGAGTTGGGTAGGCACTCATAGCATGCAATAATGCCAAGATAAAATCTTAATTCTACATTCTTATTAGGGTGTTCTATTATTTGTTATAATCCAGTATTTTTCAATTCTTTGTAGTTGGACAACTTATTGTAACTTTCCGTACGGTAAGAACTTGTATATTTTTCTATTTAATTGTTTTTGGAATTAACTCACCAAATGATGCAGAACAAAGTGCAAAAATTTTAGTGTTTTATTTGGACGTGGTAAATTCCGTTCAGCTATAAAAATTTATAAGATTTTATTTTATTTCTTAATTTAATTAGAAATTTTTTATTTTTTTTATTTAATTAAGATTTTGTTTTATTTAGTTTCTTAATTTAATTAGCATTCTAATTTCCTAATTATTTCTTGCACTATTTATACTCGTCTGAGTAGTTTTTGAGTAATAGAATTGAGAGAGTTTCGCTTTTATTCCTAATTATTTTGGTATTATTTGTAAATCAACATATCAATTAAAGCCTTCATAATTGGTGCTCTAGAGTAGGATTTTAATCCGATATTTGTGCGTACATCAATGGTTTAATCTCTTTATCCCCTTTTGTTCATCAAACAATTATTTTTACCCACTTCTTTGCATCAATTAGTATTAGAGCCCGTTCTTGTCAATACTATTACAACAATAGCAATAGCAATTGCACCGAAGACCCCATAATTCACTACAGGTGGTGGAGAAGGAGGAAGAAAGTCTAGTAGACGTGGGCGAAATTTCAGAGGAGATGCGAGATTTTGACACAGACTCGAAAAAGATACTTTTTCCTAGCGATTTATCTTTTATGCAACCACAAGTTGATTGAGATTCAACCCCGATAAATGATGTATATTGATTCATTAATTCCCATAAATAAAAGATGATTGTGATTCCCCCATATATGATGAATATCCCGAGGAGAAATATTTGCTAGGATTTACAACAAATAACACCAATAAAGTGGGTGCAGTGGTCAAGACCCAATGCAGAAGATATTGCTTTGGATAATATGGGGGACATTGAAGTGAAGACCCATGAAGATAAAATTGTTGATAGAGTAATGTCTTTGTATGAGAATGTGAATGATGATAACTTGAAATATGATGATCAAGAGAAATACTTGGAAGGGAAGGAACAAGAAAATGGACACTTAGAGATTGACATGAATCGCCATGAGATAATCGATGCTTGTGCAAAGGAAGATCGTGGTCACATATTGCTTACTGATGGGACTATAGGCATAAGTAAAATTGGACATAAATATTTGACCAAATTTTCAAGAGATCTTAATGATAGTGTTTTATTTAGATTTTATTTTATTTAGTTTTTTAATTTTTTAGATAAAATCATCACTTCCTATTAACAATAAGAAAGACAAAAGAAACCTCCATGCAATGTGTTTCAAACTTCAGGAAATCTCCATGTTATTTGTAAAATGTCAAGGATTATCTGTATGTATAATATTACAGAAACTCGAGGAATGTCTTTTTTTTACCCAAAAGGTTAACATCCAGTAAGTGATTCTTATTCTGCAAGTTCTGTTGCAAGCTGAAAATAGTTTATGTTCTGTCGGAGTCCCTTCTTGCAAACCGTTGGAGTAAGTTTTTGTTGAGATGTCATTCTTTCCAACAAGCTTTTCCACCAAAAGTTAGTGACACAATCACCATGAAAGAGAAGGGGAGACCCGCCTCAGGGGGAAGGAAAGGAATCAAACTCCATTTTTTCTTTTATTTCAATGTGCCAATCCTTTCGTTCTCTATCAGCTTACTGTATGGAGTCGGACATAAGTATGGCTTTCTGCATTCTCAGCTTCGACCCTACATATTATCAACTCAACATAACAGAAATTGCTGCAACCAACTTTGGATTATTCCCATTCTTTCCCACAGTGCTCTCACATGCCCCTACATTTCTCCAACTGAACCAAACAAAACAACCAATCTAGAATATATAGATAAAAGAAATTGCATGAGATTCTGATTCAGGAATGAAACTCAGAGTACAAACCAATTTCACTAATTAAACACTTGAGCAATGCAAGATCTCCATTTGTCAAGTTTCTTTTGATATTTAGTAAAACCAATTTGACTCACCAGAAGTAATCTACTTCTATATGGAACTTACGGCACATCTATTTGTGTCAAGGGTCCTAGATATGTAACCCCTCAAGATATCATCTTACCACCTTATGTCAAAATCGTTGATAATACACAACATATAACTAGCTTGACAAAACCAATTGGTTTTCGTATCACAAATCAGGAGAAATCATGGAAAACACCAAATAACTTTCAAGATAAAAGTTATCATAGTATTCATTCTTATTGGAATGGGAATGAGAAACAATTGATACTTTTTCTAGAAATATGGACAAATGGAAGTTTAATTCCTAAAGAAGAACTTCATGAAACCTCCCAAAATTTGATTGTTTTATTTATTCCCTTTTTATGCAATACTAAGCATAGTTCATTAGGATTTGGTGTAGGTAGTCAAGATCATAAAACTTATCCATAAGAAAGGATGGAAAATTTTACCACAAACCAATTTGTTGTGGCAGTTAATGCATCAGTGGAAGACTCACATTAGGAAGTGATATGTTTAATAAAAACAAAAATAAATTATTCTAGAACAATATATAAGGCAGATTTCTAAGCAAATGTATGTGGTGTTTCCAGGATCAAATGGCATTGACAGAACCATTCATCAGGATATGCCACACTAAATTTTGCATCCGAGCCATTAACCAAGAGGAACCAAATATCTCCCAGAATTGGTAATGGATGCAATTTCACCTGTTTATTTTTCCAACAAACTCAAACAAAAAGTTTAAAAACACAAAATCCAAGCAAAATTTTGCCACAAGTAACATACCACAAATGATACCAAAAATATTTGTATTCTTAAAACAACTAATACAGCCTAGTGCTGGACTGATTTGGATCTCTTCCAGTGTGTTTTACCTAACTATAGATCCCCATCAATAGCCATGCCAAAGGCTTAATCAATTTCCAAATTACTGTATTTTTCAACTTTATTCTTCTTTTACATAAGTTTCTAAATTATTTCTTATTCCATCATAATTTTCATAAAAGAGTAATCTAAACTCCACAATGTTTTTCCATTGATAACATTTTTGCAGATATAATTTTATATTATTTTGATAATAAATTAAAAAATCATCACAAATGACAAATACAAATAGAAAACAATGATAATCTACTACAATTAATAAAGGAAGAGAAAGGTTGATCTCCATTCCATTGGAAACCCGTGTGCATGATTGTAAAAAAATGAGATAGGGAGAAAGAGCCATGAAATTACCAAAAAAAATACACCAAACAAATAAACTTAGAATGACTCTATGATTGAGTACAATTGGTGAGGGAGTTAAATACAATTAAAGGGTGAAAAAAAAACAAGGCTATTATGCATATTTCGTATAAAGTCCTTCAAGGATGAAGGTGTGTGATGGTCGAACCAATGCACACTTCTTAACATTAAAAGAATGCATTAGTTTTTGTTGAACCTTCACATGAAATATTTATAACAATCCTAATTTTATCATTTAACCACTCATGACCCCCTTTTCAAGTGTATTCAACTTCCTGTAGTCATTAGAGATTTCTCTTCTGATCTGTTTTCGCAAGTATATATCTTTTTCCCTATCTTACTCTTTTACAATCAAGCTCAAGCACGCTGTCCAGATACTTTACTTAGTAGAACAGAAATGCTACAGCGACCAACATTTGGGACCAAAATTGTGACCCAAATGATGTGGCAAAACCCACAAACCAATAAAATGTTTTCAGCCATCACATCAATTGGGCTACCAATTTGATCCCAAATTATAATCAAAATAACATTGCTGTTAGTAAAATACTCCATGCTGAACAATTCCTGGAGGAATGGGACAAATGCTCAGTGGAAGGAGAAGTCGTTAAGAAATTGGGCTCACGGCGAGACATTTATGACCCGTCCACTGCCCCAAAACACCCAATGGTGTCTAATCTCATCACAGCATACCCATCCCTCTAAAAATCACGAACATCTCAAAAAACATTCATTGAAAAACCTATACAATATTTTCATGAAA